CCCCCCCCCGCGCGCGCGCACGCGCTCGCGCGCCCCCGTAGTTTTACGTGAGCATGGGGGTAAATACACTGGCCAAAGTTGGGATGGCGGAAGCAGAAGGAGAGAGGGGGAAAATCCTCAACACTTGCAGAGTAAAACGAGCAAGTGCAAAATAAAAAACAAAAAAGCTACGTAGGGCGTCAGGGTCGCAGGTAAAGACCGTGAGGCAGGGCTGATCCGGGCGCAGGCCAAGCGGCACCGGACCAGGGGCACCTTCGGCTTCGCCGCCGGTGGCTATACTTCCAGTCCGAGGATGTCCGCTCGGCGCGCGTACCTCGGTGCGAGCTTCCCCCGAGCTCTTTGTTAACGGAGGATGGGGAGAAAGCGGGGCAGGCACCTAGCACACCGGGCAGCGGCGGCTTGGGGGGTGGGGCGGGGACGGCCCAACGAGTTGCTCGCCTCGCTGCCCTTCCCCCACCTCCCGGCCGCAGCCCCTGCCGGCCGCTCAGGTCTCGTCCCGCCTCACGGCCAGCGCTCCCCGGCCCGGGCTGCTCAGCACGCCTCGCCGCCTGCTGGGCTACTGATGCCCTCCATCCACACAAAGACGCGTGCGCCCGGGCGGGGAGCGCAGGGGCTGGCACGCACCACCGGCGGGCCTTCTGTCTGCACCCCCTCTCCCGGCCGCCGCCGGCGCACTCCCACGGCCCCCACTCCCTCGTCTCTCGTCTGAGCCGCCATTTGCTCCTCGCCTCCCCGACTCAGCTACCGGTAATCTCAGATCTACTTTCCGTCTCTTCGTAGGTATCTCATGGAATTTAAATCCTACAGTATTTATACTTTGTTATCAGGTTTATTTTGCTTAGCATGTTTACAGGGTCCGTCCATGTTGTAATATGTGACCATTTTTTTTTACATTGTACATAAAATGTACATAACAAAATTTATCATTGCAACCAAATTTAAGTGTACAGTTCAGTAGCACTAAGTACATTCACATGGTTGTGCAACCATGGCCACTATCGATCTCCAGAATGTTCCCAACATCCAACTGAAACTGTGTACCCGTTAAACAATGATCCCCCCAACCCCTGGCAACCACCATTCTACTTTCTATTAATTTGGGGACATTCACCTTTGTATTTGCAAAGGGACAAAGCCACGCACTGGAGACTATCCAGATGCGGATAACAAGTTAGTAAAGCCTGGTTGTATGAAAAAGAGTGGCGGGAACTGAGAACGTTCAAGAAAGAGGTCCTGGGACGCCTGGGTGGTTCAATCGGTCAGTTAAGCATTGGACTCAATCTCTGCTCAGGTCATGATCTCACTGTTAGTTCCAGCCTCACACTGGGCTCTGCACTGACAGTGTGGAGCCTGCTTGGGACTCTCTCTCCCCTGCTTTCTGCCCCTCCCCTGCTCTCTCTAAATAAATGAATAACTTAAAAAAGAAAGTGAGGTCCTGGGATTATTTTAGTTCATGTAAACAAAACAAAACTAGAGGTTTTAGTTTAACAAATAGAAAGGCCAATACTATGATAACTGGGAAAGACTCAAGGGACCATGAAGACTGCCTTCACCCTCCTAAAGAACAACAGTATAGGAAAGTGGAACTGTCCTGTGGTTCATATTTAAAATTTTCTAGTAGCAGGCACCTGGGTGGCTCAGTCAGTTGAGTGTCCAACTTAAGCTCACAGTTCATGAGTTAGAGCCCGTATCAGTCTCACTGCTATCAGCATGGAGCCCACTTGAGATCCTCTGTTTCCGCCTCTCTCTGCCCCTCCCTCGGGCTCACTCTCAAAAATAAAAAAATAGTAATAAAAAAAATAAAATATTCTGGTAGCCACATTAAAAAAATAAAAAGAGGGGCACATTGGTGTCTCCGTTGGTTGAGTGTGGGACTCTTGATTTTGGCTCACATCATGATCTCAGGGTCATGGGATCAAGCCCCACTGAGCATGGAGCCTGCTTGGGTTTCTGTCTCTCCCTCTGCCCCTCTTCCCCACTGGCCTAATTGCTCTAAAATAAAAAATAAATTAGTTAATTAAAAATAAAAAGAAACACTAAAATTCTTAACTTAGCACAATGTATCCAATATATTATTGTTTCAACATATAATCAACTTTAATAAGATATCTCCCATTCTTTTTTTCATACTTGGTCTTTTTTTTTTTAATGTTTATTTATTATTTTTGAGAGAGAGAGAGCAGGGGAGGGGCAGAGAGAGAGGAAGACACAGAATCCAAAGCAGGCTCCAGACTTTGTGCTCAAACTCACAAACCATGAGATCATGACCTGAGTGGAAGTCGGATGCTTAACTGACTGAGCCACCCAGATGCCCTTCATACTTGGTCTTTCAGATCAGGTTAGCCACATTTCAAGTGCTCAACAGCCATTTATGGCTACTATATTGGACAGTGCAGGGTTGGAACCTGGGACATAGGTATCAGACAGGTTTGGGATCAAGATCCATATTCCATTCCATTCCATACTAGGCTGTGTGATTGGACAAATTACTTACCCTCTCTTATCTGTTTCTTCACTTACAAAGTGGAACTGACAAAGCCCCCTTCTGTAGGCTAATTGTGAGGACTAATGGTATGTGAAGCATTTAGTACATGCTCACTAAGTGTTGATAATTATTAGTGGTAAATAAGATGATTATTAATTTGAAATAATGAGATTTCAGTATTACTGTTAGTATGACCTCATTCACTTCCATTAGATGTTATGGCTTGGAGACATTCCAGGGGGACAAAGTTAAAAGACAATGGACAAATTGGGAAAACCTATTTGCAACACATATAACAAACATTATTTTTAATATGTAGGAAGTGCTTGCAAATAAATAAGAAAATGGGGAATATGAATGGGAAATTCAAAAAAGGAGACAAACATCTAAAGTGATTTTTTTGGGGGGGCACCCGGGTGGCTCAGTCAGTTGGGCGACCGACTCCAGCTCAGGTTATGATCTTGCAGTCAGTGAGTTCGAGCCCCATGTTGGGCTCTGTGCTAACAGCTCAGAGCCTGGAGCCTGCTTCGGATTCTGGGTCTCCCTCTCTCTCTGCTCCTCCCCCACCCACGCTGTGTCTCTCTCTGTCTCTCAAAAATTAATAAATGTTAAAATTTTTAAAAAAAAAATAAAGTGATTTTTTTTAACAAAGACCCATTTGATGTAAGTTCAATTCTCCTAGGAACTGAATAAACACATGAGACCATTGTTGAGTAATAAATTGCCAACGACCATAATTTTGCAGCACCTAATACTGAAGAAAGTGTGAAGAGATCAAATTTCTTTTCAAATCAAGATTTTCTGAAGTTTTGATAGTCAGATCTGATTCCAGATTATCAGGATAAACAAGCTGAGTTCTTGCTTCAAAGGGTGGGGGGTGGGGTACTACCCAGACAGCCTATCCTGCCCACCTTTTTCCTATTCCAAATGAAGCTGGACAGCCAACGCATACCTAGCAAGTTTGAGTTTTCTGCCTTATCACATGTGCAGTCACTTCACATTTGCTTTGCTAATAGTCCTTCAAAACTAGTGTTGACATTTCTCAAGGCTTGAAATAGTCCCAACATTGTTCCAAATTTGGGCAGGGCTAACTTACATTCTTACTTAAGCCATAATACCCCCAGAATATTCTTAGACTTCTGGCTAACTCCTTTGGGAATGCCTTATCTGCCAGCAGGGTCAGCTACGTAATTTGTGGGGCTCAGTGTGAAATCAAAGTGTGGGGCCTCTTTTTTCATAAAAGGGAAAAGGCTGTTTACGTTCTGCAGTTGCTCTCTCAGTCTCTCATGGTGTTTTTTATTTGCTATTTATTGTTGTGCTCTTAGGTATGGGGACACTTGAAGGACAAGTGCAGACCCTCTGAGGTGCCGGGTGCCACTGCCCTGCCCTGAGACAGCATCCATATCCCAGTCTGGGAAAACTTGACCCAGTGGGTGTGGGGGGTGGGGACTAATCAGACTCCTCTAAGTCCTTCCTCTTCTGTTCCCTGCATTGTGCTGTACAGTGGTGCCTTGAGACAAAAGATGCCTCACAGTACAGGCCATCTCAAAGGGAGAGAGGGGTTAGAGGAAAAGAGGAAACTGAGAGAAAAAAACACATTGGTTAGGAGATCAAAATACTAACGCTGCACGTACATCAGTGTCTGAGAGCTGGGTTAATGAGTCAGCCCCCGGAGAACTGATCCACTCTTTGTGTGTTAATAAATCAGGTCTTGAGCCAGGCAAGGCTGAGGGCCAGACTAAGCTCTGAGGTGAGTTGACACCAGGGGGATCTTTGGGGTGGCCAGCCAGTCTTAACCACAGTGACCCCATTCTGTCTCCCTGCATGTACTTCTAGAAAGTTCCTCGAACTGTTCAGGGGCTTGAATGGGAGAGAGGATGTGGTTAGTTATAGGCTAGAGGTGGGGTCTCACCCTTTTTCCCTCCCTTCCTTTAAACTCTTTTACTACATCACAAATCGCCTCTCTTCAGGGGTACTTCCAGGCATCTGCCTTAGAGGGTAAGCCTACAGCCTTCTGAACATTTGGAAAAGGATACTTACATATGAAGCCAGTGCTAAGAATGCCTTTAGTTAAAGTTTAGGGGCCAACCTGCCGCATTCCACGTAAAGCCAGATTCTACACATGGGTTTCCCCTTCCTCCCCCACTCACTGGAAATCCAGCATTAAAAGAAACCAACACAGGTCCCACACTTTAGTCAGACAAAGGATGAGAAGTGGTTCTTTCCTGACTCAGAGGGAAGGGCTCAGCACCCAAACGCTGGTAACTACATGAGCCGAAAGAGGAGGGCTGGAGTGGGGCAGGAAAGCACCAGGCTGGCTCATTTAGTGTCCTCTCCAACAGCAGCCACCTCAGTGTCTTTAGCCAAGACAACTTTCCCACTCTTATCACTTAGGAAAGTTAAAGGGTTTTAGAAATGGGATAAAGACCCCCCCCCCCAAAAAAAAAGAAAGGAAAAATAAATGGGATAAAGACCAAATATATACTTCTTATTATAAATCACAATTGCAAGGGTGCCTGGGTGTCTTAGTTGATTAAGTGTCTGGCTCTTGATTACAGCTCAGGTCATGATCTCATGGTTGGTGGGACCAAACCCCACGTGAGGCTCCGTGCTGATAGTGAGGAGCCTGCTTGGGATTCTCTCTCTCCCTCTCTCTCTACCCCTCCCCTGCTTGTGCACACACTGTCTCAAAATAAATAAATAAACATTAAATATAAAAAATATACATAAGTAAGTCACAATGGTAAAGATGTCAATTTTTCCCTGTGGTAAGCTGAAAAATGGTCCCCCCAAAAGATATCCATGTCTCCATCTCTGGGATGTGTAAATGTTACCTTATTTGGAAAAAAGGTCCTTGCAGAAGTGATTAAATTAAGGATTTTTAAATGAGGGAACTATCCTGGATTATCTGAGTGAGCCTAAATGCCATCAAAGGCACACTTATAACAGAGAGGCAGAGGATCTGACACTCAGAAGAGGGGATAATGTGACTATGGAAACCAGAGCAATGCAAAGAGATCAAAAGTTAGCAGTTTTGAGTGGTAAAACCATACATAGGTAATTTATATTTTTCTTTTTAATTACCTGGTCTTTTTAAAACAAACATGCACTGATTCTAAAAAGATGTACTTAAATGTATATGATTGCTCTCTGTTTCAATAGGAGCAATCAAAATGTCTTCTTTTTCAAGAACATGTTTTAGTATGCCTAGTTGCAAGGTACATTGTTTTCACCGAGCACCTACTATCTCTTAAGTTCATTGTATATTATATTATTAAATCTTTCACAGCAATGTTATGGGACAGGTAATAAAAATATAAAATAATTCCCATTTTACAGATGAGGCAATGAAGCCCAAAGTCAGTCATCTATTAACATCAGGACTAGGATTTGAGAGCACATTGGTCGTTTTTGTTTTTTTGTTTTTTTGTTTTTTAATTTTTTAAATGTTTATTTGAGAGAGAGAGAGAGGGATCCCAAGCAGGCTCCTCACTGTCAGCATGGAGCCCCATGTAGGGCTCGATCCCACCAACAATGAGATCATGACCTGAGCCGATATCAAGAGGTGGACACTTAACCAACTGAGCCACCCAGGAGCCCCAGAAAGCACATCTGTCTTTAAGGTCCATGCCCTAATTTGTAATTTTGAAATAACCTAAATGTCCCTCAGTGGGAACCAATCAAATTACAGCATATCCATACACTGTAAAACTCTATAGCCATAAAAATAAAAATGACAATGCTCTCTCCATATTGATAAGGACATGTTTCAAAAATACAGTGTTAAGTGGGCAGAAAAAACCAACAAAGTGCAGAAGGTGTGTATAACATGGTACCATTAAAGTTAAAATGCAATAAAGAGTATATTTTTGTTTCAGCTTGTATATACATGAAAACAACATTAGAAGGATAAACAAAAACCTAAATACAGGGTTATCTATTTGGGGTGGGGGAAATGGGCAGATGAGGCATAGGAACATGACAGATACTCTTCACTCTATACCTTTATATATATATATATATATTTTTAGTTTTGAGTCATGGAGTCAAATTACCTATTCAAAAGTAAACATATAAACCTTTTAAAAGCAAAATATAATCAAACATAGCTCTTTTGTTTTTCTACTCTTTTCTACTCTTCCACACACCTCAGACATCCTTGGAGGGCAGTGTGCATCCCCTTTTCAATGAGACTCCTCTAGTGGTGCTGACAACAGCATCAGCACACAGACCAGGAGAGACTGCCGTGCTAGCAAGCAGTGCCAGACCAACCACACTCTTTCCTTATCCCTGACTTAGAAAAATAAAACCAGTAGGCAAATACACTAGTCAGCATTTCTGAAGCCAGCTGTTAACCAATCCTCTTCTTGCCCTTTACTCTCTTTTCTTCCTTTTTCCAGAAAAACCTGGAAAGCTCTGCAGAACTTTGCAAAATGCTTTAGTAGTGCTGGCTGCCTTGTTGTTTTCCTTCTCTCCTTTGGCCTGTGTCATCCTTGCAGGCAAGGACCGCAGTCTGACTTCCTGCCAGCTCGCCCTGCTGGGTTCATCTCAGTGCCTTAAAAAAAAAAAAAAAAAATCTGCATTTTCCTAAACCTACGAACCTCAAATTAGAGGTCATTTTGTACAACTCTCCACCCAGAGTAGAACATTCCAGTTGTAAAATTTAGCAGAGTAAATATATTTGGTTTTAAAACACAGTCGCTTGGTTTCACTTTGTCTAACCAATCAAGTCGAGTGACAGCTCTCATAAAATATCTGCTCTTGCTAAGGATCCCACAGGGCAGGTCTATTTGTGTGTGAAGTCTAACAGTGCAGAGAGCCCCAGTAAATTTCCATTTAGTAATTCAGTGACTGTTAATCGACACCTAATGTGTATCCATGGCTGTCTGAGGCCCTGTGCTGGGGATAGAAACAAACATGAGACTCAGTTCTTGCCACCGATCTCTAATAACCCTGTTAGGACACCATCAGCTCCTAGATGTGTCGGAACTCACTAGTTTTGTTCTTTAAAGCCATTTGCAAGGTATCAACTATATCACTGAGTTATGGACATTTTCGTGGTTAGCTGTGGTCAGAAATATGATTTATATGAACAGTTTTCTCTTTTTTTAGGGTATTGGGGAAATACCTTTTCTATTGCAAAGATCACAGCCAGAGGTTGAACTCTAGGTAATGTAATCCATATAAGACTCACTAACCTTTTCAGGGTGTTAATTTAGTCATAACAATGTCATAGCTTTCAGTTTCCAGCTTTCATTAGCTGGAATTCTTTCGCTAATGTGCAGGAAATTTGAGATGTATGTATGCCAGATGTGTTCAATGAAAGGTTCTGCTTAAATCAGATGTGAGTCTAAAAGTAAGACATTCCCAGCGATGCTGAGCTTGGCAGGGATTCAGGTGTCTAGAACCATACCACATACATACCCTGAGCGTGCTGGGCCAGAACACTACCATGCAGCGTTGCTAAATTCACTAGGAACTCAGAGCAGAAGGCCCCATGGAGACTGCATACCCACTCCTTATTACACATGTACAGCATCACCAGGAGTGATACCACGAGATTCATTCTGTATTGGGTTATTCTCAGAGGAAAACCCCAACCAGGTTGAGGATAATGAGCACCATACACTGTAAAAAGCATCAAGAAGCTATGTGGCTTCCACATATCCACACAGAACACATCAGCAGGAAGAAGGAGCATTATATTACCAGGTTTCCTGTCAGGACATCCTGGCTCAAAACACAGTTTTGTCACTGAAAAACATAAGATAACCGGCAGATGTGAAACTGCAAGATTGTGTCCTTGAGGCTCTCAGAAATCTGTCAGCTTAAAAGGAGAGCTCAGGGGTGCCTGAGTGGCTCAGTCAGTTGGGTGACTGACTTTGGCTCAGGTCATGATCTCACAGCTCATGAATTCGAGCCCTGCATCAGGCTCTGTGCTGACAGTTCAGAGCCTGGAGACTGCTTCAGATTTTGTGTCTCCCTCTCTTTCTGCCCCTCCTCTGCTTATTCTCTCTCTCAAAAATAAACAAAAAGAAAAAAAAAAAAAAAAGGAGAGCTCAAAAACAGGTATGAAGATCACTCATTCCAATTACTGAGAGGTAGTTTGTTTTTGTTTCCAGGCAAGAGGAGCATGGGAATATGGAGACATGAACTGATTCAAGGAATCTGGCCTGGGGAAGGCCTCATGCACAGATTCTGAGCTGACAGGGTCTTGTCTTAAAGAGCCTTGGACCAAATTTACTACCAGCCTTATCCCAACCCCCATTTCCCCAGCTTCAAAGAGAATACAGGTGACCACAGACTCCGAAGTCTTGCAGGTTGGTGCAGACTTTTGAGAACCTGTTGTACATCTCTCACCCTTGTTCCAATGGGTACTCTTTGTTAACACTAGAACTTATACTGTCCCACATTTGATCTTTCCTTCCTCAACCACAAACTTCTACTTCCTTCTACTATTGTCTTCAGAATGCCAATATTTTGTGTCCCAGTTTCATCTTGGGCACCAAGGAGTAGGATGAACTTTATAGTTCTGAAATTCTAGGTTCAGAAAATAGTGCTGTGGAGCACAAGGTGGGTGGGTTTCACTGTCACTCATGCCTGTACCTGTGAACAGGGAACCTCCTGAGGAAACACATATGGTCTCATCATATTCCACAGCCACCCAGCCACATCGCTCAAGGCCTGACTTCCTTTCCTCCCCACGCCCCACCCTCTGGGCAGAAGTAGCTGAGAAGGTGCTTCTCCAGCTCTTTCCTCTTCCCTGCTTAGCTCTATTATAGTTCACTAGGCCAACACTTCTCTTAGAACCAAAGTGTTTCTATTTAGGGGTCTGGGGAGCAATTCCATTTCCCTCTATCATCTCACCTGGATTTTCTGGCTTTCAGAAGAAAATGATCCACTCAGAGATCGTGACTTATTTCTTCCCAAGCAGTGAGTCATATTCACAGACAAACCTTATCTCCTGGGCCACAACCTGGTTGGCTCCCAACTCACAGAACATGATCAAAGACTGTGTATCTTTGTATCTTTATATTAACTTGCACATAATTCATTTAAACTTTGGAGAAAAACGCCTCATCATATCCTCCTACCTCCCCACCACTTGTTTTAATTTTCTCCACAGCTCATCCGACATACTATACCATCCTTCCTCCCTCCCTCCCTCCTTCCCTTTCTTCTTTCCTTCCTTCCTTTCATACTGTTTTTCTCTCTCTCCTCATTGGCCTATAAACTTTTTGAAGGTAGGGCTTTGGTTTGTTTTGTTCATTTCTGTATCCATAGGACCCAGCTCAATGCCTGGCACAGGGTACTCAATAAATGTTGAATAAACAAACTGTTGAATGAATAGTTGCTTATCCTTACTTTTCTCTGGGTCCTGCCACTCCCTCTCCTGCCACAACGTTTTTACCTTGGCTTAACAGCTAAGGGATCATATGACTATATATGTTACATCAGCTCTGGAGGGGAGTGTACTTCTCCACCTCTGACATCTCCATCTGCTGAAACCACATGCACCTGGCAAGTCCTACCAACCTTCTCGTGGCACCATCCTTTAACCTCCCACAATAATCTTACCATGGTGATCTAGAGCACTCCAAGCCTGCATCGCTCAACTACAGTTTAACACTTTCTGCCTTGTGCTGAGAATATAATTTTCCTGGATGCAATTTTCCTGATGCAACAGGGAAGTCAACAATAAGACAAGGGTAGTCTTTCCTTGGCGAAGCTAGCTTCCCACCCCTGCTCTCTCGTCTCCTACCCCTTTTCCACAGGTCCCCCTAGGCAGTACTTAATTGCTGAATTAAAAGAAGAACCCAGATCTGGGCCTTACACTTTGAGGCTGGCCAACTGCAAGGGGACCCATCTCTCAAACACTTATTAACTAAGTTCACACAGAGGCCAAGGGACATATAAACCAAATGCCAATCAATGTATGGATTCAAATGAAGAATAACAGACATTCTGAGGCTCTGGAATGGTTGAATTGACTTGACTGGCTGATCTTTTCCTCATGGTCTGAAGACTGCTTGGTAAATATGGAACTTAGAATAAAAGTAACTGGGGCTCAGTCGGTTGAGCGTCCAACTCCTGGTTTTGACTCAGGTTATCATCTCACAGTTTGTGAGTTCAAGCCCCACATTGGGCTCTGTGCTGACGGTGCAAATACTGCTGGGGATCCTCTCTCTCTCTCCCTCTCTCTCTCTCTGCCCCTCCCCTGCTTCTGCTCTCTCTCAAAAATAAATGGGGGAAAAAGTTAACTTAAAAAAAAAAAAAAGTAACCTTAAGTCACATCTCTCCTTTAGGGCAGGGCCCTTCTTCCCTGCTGTAAGAGCAGTCTGACCAAGGAAATCATGGAGCTCAAGTCCCCTTAGTCAAGACCTACCCTTCTTTAGGCAGTGCTGGTGCTTCCAAGGATGGCCAAATCCCTCGTGTTCAGGTCCCCAAAACACTTTATAACACAATTGATCAGACTTAACCAAAATTATGACCATTTTCCAGCCCTTCCTTCCTGAGATTGCTCTCAGTCATCTGATCAATGTTCTGGGTGTCCTCAAACTTTCAGGCAATACACTTGAAATTTCATGGTTTACTTTCCTGGATAATTAATCACCCATCACATGTAATTTTACTGTGGGAAACTCATTTCTTGTCACTTAGGTGTGCAGGCTGTATTAGACAAAACAAAAGACATTTCTCCAATTAGACTATAAGCACCTAAGGGTCCATACCTTGTAGGTTTTAATAAATATGCCATGAGTCAGGACAGCAAGGACTGCTTTGCCAGCAAAGAGAAAGAAAAAAATGAAAACAAAAACAAATGCCTATTCAAAGTGACCCTGAATCAAGTAGGCTCATCTGTTCTCTTGATTGGAAACTACCTGCCTTGCTCAAAACCATGGAGTATTTACTTACAAAGTTCTGGGTTTTAAGGAATTACTCCAAGATACCTGAGTCCTTATTAGCTTGCCTCATCTTGGGAATTTTTTTAACTATTGTGCTAGCCAAGTTCAAGAATTAAAAGAATGAAAATGGAGAGGGGACTTATGCCTTTGTTGCCTTTCTCTTGTCTCTTGTAGTTCCACGTACAACTCAGCAGTGAGTATGAGCTGCCACTCTCACAACATAATATAGAGAACACAGCCGTCCCGAGGTACATTGGATCCAACTTACTCAGACACCACATTTCTGCCTTTTGCCTTGCTGACTGGCAAATGAGCAATGGTTTGTAGAAGCAGCAGGTGCAAGGAGAGGTGGCTCCTGCCAGGTGCTAAAAAAAGGCTCAACTCTGATACACAGGAGTCCTTCCATTAACACATCCATGACTGAGGCAAAGTGGGGGGAAGTTACCCCTTCTCTGTCTTTTGGAGTCACAAATGCTGCCCTTTGTCATTTAACCTGGTTTTGCTTTGATACAAATGGCAGGAGTGGCCAAGAGAGTGGGGGTATGGAGGTGAAGCCCACACTGTAACATGCCTTCACTCATACCCTCTAGGATGGTCCTGGGCATCACACATCCTAGAGAAAGGCTGCCCAGGTACTGTTTCTTGCCACTGCCACAGAACCAAACTTTGGTATGGACTCCTAAACACATGACTTTACCATATCCTTGCTGTGAGTTATGTCATTTAAGCTGGTGAACCACAGTTTCCTCTTCTATGTAAAGGGATGATAATTCCACCTAGCTCATAGGACTGGTTGTGGAAATCAAATGAGATGGTAACTTGTGTGAGAAACCTAATACATGGGAATGCAAGTGGGTGCAGCCATTCTGAAAAACAGTATGGAGGTTCCTCAAAAAACTAAAAATAGAACTACCCTACGACCCAGCAATTGCACTACTAGGTATTTATCCACGGGATACAGGTGTGCTGTTTCGAAGGGACACACGCACACCATGTTTGTAGCAGCACTATCAACAATAGCCAAAGTATGGAAAGAGCCCAAATGTCCATCGATGGATGAATGGATAAAGAAGATGTGGTATATATATATACAATGGAGTATTACTCGGCAATCAAAAAGAAGGAAATCTTGCCATTTGCAGCTATGTGGATGGAACTGGAGGGTATTATGCTAAGTGAAATTAGAGAAAGACAAAAATTATATGACTTCACTCATATGAGGACTTTGAGAGAAAACAGAGGAACATAAGGGAAGGGAAACAAAAATAGAAAAACAGGGAGGGGGGCAAAACAGAAGAGACTCATAAATACGGAGAACAAACTGAGGGTTACTGGATGGGTTGTGGGAGGAGGGGTGGGCTAAATGGGTAAGGGCCACTAAGTAATCTCCTGAAATCATTGTTGCACTATATGCTAATTTGGATGTAAATTTTAAAAAAGAAAAAAAAACCTAATACAGTTTGTGACACATGCTAAATAGCACTTCAGGATACATTAGTTTTCCTCCTTCAAGAAGATAGTCTTGCACTGCTTACTCAGACCAGCTTCCTACATAAGCTACTGGAAGCTAGCTTGTCCCCAGGGATCAGGCCATCCCAGGAAAAATGACTTGGCCACAGCAACGTGTAATACGAGACGAAAGATTCTGACAAGGCACAGCAACAGGAGAGAGACAACTGAAGGGTACCTGGCAGTGTGTGCCCTAGACAGGGTTCCCAGCAGGAAATCCTGTGGTGCCTCAGTTAAGTAGTTTCACAAGGGCTGGGGCCCAGACAAAAACTCCAGTAACCACCCGTCCCTAAACTTTCATTAGGCCCCATGTTCAACTCGTCAGGTCGTGGATGAGCCCCTTGCCCCCTTTTCTTTCAAAGCCACTGGGCAGGCTGTGGAGTTCACATTAAGAAAAGGGAAGCGCTTCTCTTAAAAACCAGTACACGGAACTACACGAAGCCTTCTAAGGGCTACCGAGGGATTAATGGCCCTGCAAACTGGTTCTAAGGACCCAATGGCAAAAGGTGGATTTTAAGTTTCATATTTTGACTGACCACCTACCCTGTGTTAGGGACAGACTAATACATCTCTTAAGTGGATGGTACAATCCGTATTTTACAAAGGAAAAAACCGACACTCCGAATACTGAATGACTCGCCCAAGGCCAAGACTAAGCGGCGGGTCGGGATTCAAAGCCCAGTCTCCTTCCAGAGCCCACATTCCTCCTCTCTCCCGGCGCAGGCAGGAACGGCAAGAGTGGGGGCGGGCCAATACTGGGAGGCCGGGGAGGAAGAAAGCCTGAGCCACGGCGGGGAGGGGCCTGGGCGCGGCGACTCCTTCCCCGAAGAGCCGCGCGGTCTGCAGCTGGTGTGCGGCCCGGGCCCACGTGCCCCGAGTCCACTCCGCTGCCCTGAGGGCGCGCTGGCCGCTGCGCGGGCTTGGACCCGCCCCCAGGAGGGTGCCAGGAAGTCGGTGCTCGGCTTAAAGTTGGACCCAGAGGCGCCCGGGGCACGTCTGAGGGCGACCTGGGCGAAATAACGACCTCGAAAGGGCCTCGCGCAGGGACGAGTGCCCCTCCCCATCCAACCCGCCTCGTCAGCACCTTTCCAGCAGTTCGGCCACACAGTGGGTCACGAGGTGGGCGTGGCCCAGTCAGCCTGCGCGCGGCGCCACCCGCCCTCCCCTCTCCTGGCGCGCCACGTCCCCGGCCCCGGCCCCGCCCCCGCGAGCCACGCGGGGAACCCCAATGTCGTCACCACCCTCCTGCACTCGCCTTCCCGCGCTCTCCAGAAAAGACGCGAAAGTGGTGACGTGTCCCGGGCTCCAGTGAGGCTGCGCAGAAGGCGTCGGCAACAGAACGTCCTGCGGCGCCGCCTGGTGGAAGAAAGAGCTGCCCAACCGGCCGGAAGGAGCGGCGCGGGCGGGAGGGGTACGTGACTTACGTCACCTCGCTGAGGAGGGGGGAAAGGGGGCGGCCGCCACGTGACCGGCCCCCGCCCGCGGCGCCAAGGCGTCTTTCTTTTTCTTTTCCACCTTTCTGTGGAGTAACCTTTATGTCCTTTGTTTTAAGGGTAGGACTTTTCCTTTTTGGAACTTACCGAAGTAATATTGTTCATCGGAGAAATTTTGAAAAAAAAAAAAGGGAAAAAGATAACGAAGAAAATGAATGCCAGCACTACACACACCCTTTCATATTGATTTGTAGCTTTTCTGTTAACATTAAACAAAACATTCCAGTCTCAAGGCCAAGTTAGAAAAACACGACGGAAAAGGAAGGGAGAGCAAACAATAGGCAAAAGGGTAATAGATGGTATTTAATGAGGATTTCACACACAGTACCTAATTTAGTACACACATCATCCAGGTGAGGTCACCGGACCATAGGGTTGAATAACTTGCCCAAGGTTGCATAGTTAATAAGCTGGTGGCAGAGTCCGGGTTTGAACCCAGGGTTTAAAATCTGAACCTTAAGGTGGTGTGAAGAGGACAGTTGAAAAAGTGCTGGAGAGAAGGGAGGAAAACCGCAGGGAATGTCGTGGTGGTTACAGATAACACTTTTTACTTCTGAAATTGTGGAGCTGGAACCAGTTGGTAGGAGGAAGGCCAGTGCCTCCAAGGGATGGAGCAACTTCGTGGGAGCATACCGTAAAGCATCTCAACCTAACACACTGCCTTGAAACGCTTAGGTGCATGCTAGCTATTGCTCTAGCAGCTGCTGCTGATTGCTTTGTGTCACCGACCTCCAGCCCTGCCCTCCCATTAGTGGCAGTGAGAGGTGGGAGTCACAGTACCAAGTCAGGCATTAGGTCTTGCTATGGAGAGTGCAGTCTGGAGTCCAGCTGCATTTGTGCAGTCCAGTACATGCTGCATCAGTTTGAGGACATAAATGCAGAATCTTGGACCCTACCCTAGAACCTCTGAATCAGAATATGCTAGATTGTAACTAGATCCCTGGGTGATGCCTATGCATAGAGCACTATGGTAAAACACGGTATCCTAGTCCCTTGGCGAGGCAGGTGTGATGGTACAAAGATGTGAAGGGAGCTTGCAGAGCTGGATGGTGGGAAGGCATGCAGACAAGGAGCAAGGTCTGTAAGGCAGTTTTTAAAAAAGCATCCAGGGGTTCCTGGCTTGCTTAGTCAGTGGAACAGATGACTCTTGATCTCAGGGTTGTAAGTTCGAACACCAAGTTGGGTATAGAGATTACTTTAAAAAAAAAAAAAACAACTTAAAAAAAAGCATTCAATAAGGAGTATCAGAAAATATCACAAAATAGGAAGAAAACTAGGAAGCCAGAATCTGGGAGACAAAAGAGAAATAAGCCAAGGGGGTGAGAAGGTTCATCTTGGGAAAATTCACCAAAAAAAAAAAAAAAAAAGACCCAGGAATTTTTCTCTGTGGCTAACTTTTCTGTGTTGTATGTGATGAGTACTTGAGAGGGTTCAGGTCATTCAAAGGGCTGGAGGAGGGCAGCCCCTGCCCATTCTCTCACCTTTAGCAGATACAGTGCGATTTCCCTTGGTTATTCTAATAGAGAGCAGGTTTTGGGCTCTGACCTGGGAGAACCAGATACTGACAGAATAGTGCCTCTTAGATGATGTACACAGGCTGCATTCTGTAGGTGGCCAGAGCTAGATGAGTAGGAGACCAGAGTGTTATGGTGTGTGTGCATATATATGCATGTACACATGGGTTGGAAGGAAGGGTGGGTTACTGGCAGAAAGGACATAATAGGAATCAGTGAAAGGGTGAACTTATGTGACTGGGACCGATGACATCTGGTACCATGAAAGAACTAGGTGGCGGGCCTACAGACCCTCACTTATGTGGGTAGTTCTTAGAGTCACATTTTCAGGAGGTCTCTGAGTGGCTTATCGTTCTTCTAAGCCAGCGAGCTGTTGAGATGACAGTAGTTCTGGTAGAAGCAGGGACATGATAGGTTAGAACCAAAGTGATCTGGGTGGAGTGGCAGCAAGTTGTTCTCATTATGCCCACATTAGGGGCCCAGCCATTTTGTCTGGAGGAGTTAAGGTGGCATCCCTCTCATACCTATTAATATTGTCTAAGGATTGTCAGTCCGTGCACTAAACAGGTGACTACGTGGACATGGAGGTTTTTGAGCTGTTCACTCCGGAATACAAATGGTGGCTGCAATGTTGAAAGGCATTAGCTTTTCTCCCAGAGATGGGGGATTCCTATGACTAATGGAGGTATGCAATGGATAGCAGGTGGGAGCATGGAGAGGTGGGGAGGCAGATGTGTGCAGAGTTTGAAGAGCCTTTTTCTGCTGGGAGTATCTGGGATCACCCTGGGGTGGTAGTGTGGGCTGAGTCTGAAATGAGGTCAATGCTAGTGGTGTCCCAGAGGTCTGGATGTTGAGAGTGGGTACAGTACTCTTACTGGTACTTGTAGGCCCATGCTTGACCTGTTAGAGAGAGTGCCAAATTAGAATTATTGGTCAATGTAACTCTGAACCCCATTCCAGATTTTGATGGACTGTGAAGGTGGGTTGGGGTGGTCCAGGGTAAAGACCTTAACACTTCAGTACTGTTCCTCTTTGGGTGGATCATTTGTCCCAGCCATGTGTTTTATGGCCTTTGTGGGTATTCTCATCCGTGGCTATAGTCAAGTACTACTAGATCCAGGCATTTGCCTGTTACTCACAGGTCTGTCTTGGTCAAAAAGCTGTAACCAATGTCCTTAAAGTAGTCAGGTTGCAGGATTTCCTGAATGGACCAACCACTGTGTTTCCTTGGGTGGTCTTCCTTTTCAGCAGGCTCTGCTTTACCTAATTTCTCTTCTCCATATCTATACAAACGCTTTCTCCTTTAAAGCCCAGTACAAGTTCTAAGTTCTCTGTGAAACTTTCTGGAGTCTCCCCGAGGAGTTCCCCCACTGTCGAAAGCATTTGTGAGCTCTCCACCCAAACTATTCCTTCAATCACACAGGACAGACAACACTTAATTTGCCTACCCTTTCCCCCTTGTAGGGACACAGCTCCCCTTTTACCAAAAATGCCAATCAGAGTCTTTCTTGTGGGTCTTTGCCCTTCGGAGGAGAGAGAGAGTAGAGCAGCCAATCCCGCTCCAGTGTAAAAGTGTAAGTCTTACTTTCAGGTGCCTGAAAAGTCGGAATTCTGGCTAGAGGGTGCTGCTCTGTGCTAAGAGTGAGTGAAGCCCCAGGAGAGACAGTGATGGGTCAGATGGACCTTGGCTCCAGGGTTCCTGAGGCCTAGTTACACCCTAGTGCCACCCAGGATGGCTGTCCAGCCTTATGTTAAAGTCCATGAACCATTCATTCCCATTTTTGCCTGAGCTGGTTAGAGTTGGGTTTTTGTTACCTGCAGTCAAAAGAAAACCAGGAGTCTCCTTTATGTGGGATTTTTCTTATGTTCCCAAGGACAATGGTTTACAAGGAATTTATATCAAAGTAACATAATAAAGTAGAAAGAACATGCCCTTTGCACTAAAATGAAACATTTTTAATGCCGTTTCCAGCAAGAAAAACAGGCTGTCTCTTTAACTTAAAAGAAGAGGTGATATCTAAACTCAAACAGTAAGGACTAAATGAGAAAAATGGGAATATAAATGAAAGTGTCTGGCACACAGGAGGCATATAGGAAATGGTCACTCCCTTCTTTTCTCCCTGAAGACAGGCTTCCACTTCTGTGTCCTTCAGTATCACCATTCTGTGATCAATGAGCTCAAAAACAGGAATTGAACCTACCAGCTCTTAAACTTGTTGTTGAATAAAGAAGGAAATAAATATCTAGGGAACAAGTAATTAGAAGCATTAGTTTGAAATGTCAATAATCCCTTGATACCTGGACTTCTTTTTCCTATTTCACTATTACTTAAGTCTCCCCAAAGGCTTATAATTTTATAATCAGGCCAACATGAGATATACTTTGGAAAAACTAGTGACATTGTGCTTTTATTTGAAAACAAAATAAATGGGCATGACTGGAACTCTGTCAGGATGGTCCTTAACATTCTGCCCTAAACAGGGTATTATTAACTTTCCAACACTATTGGTGTAAGAAGTGCTGTGAACATCTTAGAGAATTAGAAAAAGTTTGAAACAAACTCTAAAGGTGAGTTCTTTAAGAAGGAAAGAGAGCTGGTTTCCTTTTTGTTCCTTTAAAAATTCTAGCCAGAAATATCACCCAATTTATAACAAAGACCATACACAGCAGCACCAAAAAGGCCATTTACAAGAAGAGTTTTCTTCAACAGAATCCACTTGAATGCGGTAAGAAATTGCATCTTGGCTAAGAGCAGTTCACTAGGCGACAGGGCCATCTAAGTGCCTAACTAGTATTTAAATTGTCAAGGGTTGGGAATGTGCAAATTTAGCAGCAAAAGACTCTTGTTTTTTCCCTTGTCAAGGGAAAGTGATGGTGGTCAGAGGCGCCAGTTCCAAGGGCTGGTCCAGCGGTGGCCGCTGGTCTTGGTATTCCGCCACATGCCCGTTCCGGTGGTGACCATACTCAAACTTGATCCGAAGCTCACCAATCTTGGACTGAGGAAGGATATCTGGAATCCACTCAATGATGAATGGTGTTGGCTCCTTTTGATCTGGGGAAGTGTTGCCTGAAGACCAAAAAAAAAAAAAAGAACATTGATTAGTACCATTCCAAAATTTGAGGCTGGACAGATGTAACTCTGTTCAGTAATAAAAAAAAAGAAAAAAAAATTAAAACAACAACAACAAAATAGGAGAGAGAAACAGTGGAGAAGAATCAAGGGAAGGGAAAAGTGATTACTGGTGTATCTATCCAAATAAAAATTTCAGGGAACTGTCTGGCACCCTCAAATGAAATAAGACCCAGCCTCCATGGAAATAGAGCCAAAAGAATACTAAGGAGAGCCCAGATTAAGGAGAAAAGATAGCTGGATGAGATTAAAAGGGAGACTAGCAAGAAAAGGTCAAGTTTCAAGGAAACCAGAAACAATTAAAATTACATGGTTCTAAAACATACTACAAACCCATAATAACCAAAGGAGTGTGGTACTGGCATATGTCTAGACAGATTAAATGAACAAAACAGAAAGATCCAAAGTGGACACAAATAGAACAGGAATTTAGCATAATATAAAGGTTGCATTTTCAATTAGTAAAATTAGTGATTAGTAATTTCAGTTAGTAAAATACAAGTGTTTCTTATAATAGTGTGCATCAATTAGATAGCTATCTGGAAGAAAATAAAAGGTGGCAGAATCATACCTCATACCTTACATCAAAATAAATTCCAGAGGATCAAAGATTTAAACATGAAAAACTCAGGTTACAGAATGCTTTCAAAAAAATATAAAACACTAGCAGGGTCCAACTCTTGATTTTGGCTTAGGTCATGATCTCACGGCTCACGGTTCATGAGATCTCTCTCTCTGACCTTTCCCCCACTTGCATTCATGCACTCTTTTCTCTCTCAAAATAAATAAACATTTTACTAAAAAAAAAAAACTAGCAGAATTTAAAAGAATACAATATACCTTTCAGAACTATGGGGCATCTGGCTAGTTCAGTTGATAGAGCATGTGAATCTTTTTATTTATGTATGTATGTATGTATGTATGTATTTATTTTTTTAATGTTTATTTTTGAAGGGGAGAGAGAGAGAGACAGAGCGTGAGTGGGGGAGGGACAGAGAGAAAGAGAGACATGGAGAATCTGAAGCAGGCTCCACGCTCCAAGCTGTCAGCACAGAGGCCGACAACAGAGCTCAAACCCACAAACTGTGAGATCATGACCTGAGCTGAAGTCAGATGCTTAACTGAGCCATCCAGGAGCCCCAGAGCATGTGAATCTTGATCTTGGGGTCCTGAGATCCCATGTTGGGCACACTGCTTACTTAAAAAAAAAAAAAAAGAAAAAAAGAAAAAAAGGGCAAAGAAATTTTGACACTTGCTACAACATGGATGAACCTTGTAGACATTATAGTAAGTAAAATAAGTCAGAGAAAGGAAAAATACTGTATGATTGTACTTACATAAGCTGCCTAAAGTAGTCAAATTAATAGAGACAGAAAATAGAATGGTTGTTGCCAGGGACCAGGGGTGAGGTGAGAGTGGGGAGTTACTAATTAATGGTACAGTTTCAGTGGAGGGCGACAAAAAAGTTCTGGAGATGGATGATGGTAATAGTTGCACAACAATGTAAATATGCTTCATGCCTGAGAACTATACACTTAAAAATGGTTAAAATGGTAAACTATTTTATTTAAAAAATTTTTTTAAGTTTATTTATTTATTTTGAGAGACAGAGAGTGAGCAGGGGAGGGGTAGAGAGAGAGAAGAGAGAGAGGATCCCAAGCAGACTTCGCACTGTTAATGCAGAGCCTGATGTGGGACTCGAACCCATGAACTATGAGATCACGACCTGAGCCGAAGAGTCGGACACTTAGCCAACTGAATCACCCAGGCACCCCTAAAATGATAATTTTTATATTCTGTATGTTTTATAAAATTTTAAAAAGTTAAAAAAATATTGTTTAAGAGGCACCTGCGTGGTTCAGTCGGTTAAAGCGTCCACCTTTGGCTCAGGTCATGATCTCACAGTTCGTGAGTACGAGCCCCACGTTGGGCTCTGTGCTGGACCCTGCTTCAGATTCTGTGTCTCCCTCTTTCTCTGCCCCTCCCCCACTCATGCTCTCTCTCTTTCTCTCTCTCTCTCTCTCTCTCTCAAAAATGAATAAACTTTTAAAAAAATTTTAAAAATAATGTTTAAGGTAGATATGGAAAGCTGTCATGATAATATTTTTAAGTTAAAAAAGTATCTGAGGTATGAGCCCATGTTTTGCAAACTCTTTTCATGTGTAGAACAGAGTCTAAAAGGAGATATGCCAAATTCTTTTTTTTTTTAATGTTTATTTTTGAACATTTTTTTTTCAACGTTTATTTATTTTTTTGGGACAGAGAGAGACAGAGCATGAACGGGGGAGAGGCAGAGAGAGAGGGAGACACAGAATCGGAAACAGGCTCCAGGCTCCGAGCCATCAGCCCAGAGCCCGACGCGGGGCTCGAACTCACGGACCGCGAGATCGTGACCTGGCTGAAGTCGGACGCTTAACCGACTGCGCCACCCAGGCGCCCCTTTAATGTTTATTTTTGAGACACACACACACACACACACACACACACACACACACAGTGCGAGCAGGGGGAGGGGCAGACAGAGAGGGAGAAACAAAATCTGAAGTAGGCTCCAGGCTCTGAGCTGTCAGCACAGAACCTGTTGCAGGGCTCAAACTCACAAATTGCGAGATCATGACCTGAGCCGATGTCAGAAGGTTAACTGACTGAGCCACCAGGCACCCCTAAAATCTTAATGGTGATGTCTTCTATGGTGCATGAGCTTATAGGTCGTTTACTTTTCTCCTTTATGGTCTATAATGAAATCTATGATTTCTCTATAATGAATATGTATTTATTACTTCTATTCTATTCTATTCTATTCTATTCTATTCTATTCTATTTATTTTTAGAGATTTTATTTTTAAGTAATCTCTATACCCAACATGGAGCTCAAATTTACAACCCCAAGATCAAGAGTCATGTGCTCCACTGACTGAGTCAGCTAGGTGCCCCTTATAATTTTATTTTAAAAGCATTGTTTCAAAAGAAACAAAACACTTTATTCCATGATGGCCTTTACAAGATGAATGCATGTGTCTTCTTTGTTTAAGGTCAAGATCCAATGTCTAGGACAGTTCAGTGCACACAGCTAACCTTCAAAGGAAAATGCGCTATTGAAAGCACAATTTCACTTACCAACTTTGAGAAAAGTTTTTAGTTCCAAAGGTCGCAGCACGGGTTGCTTTTCTATACGACCATAGGTTTCTGCTATGCTCTCTACTTCCACTTTAGGGCATTTAAACAGCTCATAAGTCCCATCCCGGTTCTGGATAAAACTCCGAGTGATTTCCAAGGGCATCTGGACATGAAGTCAATACCAAGAAAGGTGAGAAAGGAAAAACTTTCAAAGTAGACAAACATTTGGATGACAACAGATCTTTCACTTATTCTTTTTTGTTACACTCAAATTAATGGAAACCTCCTCTTGTATTTTCAAGTAAATGCTATCAAGAAATCTGCCTTTTCTCCTTTACATCATTCATGACTTTCCTTTTTTTCTCTATAACTTTAATTTGAACCCCAGCCAAACTATCTATGAACTGAACCTCTAACATCTTCATGGCCATGCAATGGCTGCTGGCATAGACTTGCTCTCAAATCAGTTTTGTTCCCTTCCCTCCTGCTCTGCTAGCATGATTCTTCTCCTAAAAGCTCTACTGACAGCATCTACAGCTGGCCTAACACCTTGTATGCTTCACACCATCCTTGGGACTAAGCCAGACAGAACTTGAATTGGTCTTTGCCACTAAACAGCAGGGCATATAGCCTTTCTCATCGGCAAAATTCAGTTAATACCAATACATGGTTGTGAGTTTGAATGAGGCGATGCAGGTAAGTAATGCCCAAACAGACCGACACTCCAAGATTATCAATTAGTTCTCTTCCTTCACTTGACAGTGATAGTGCCTCCCTGAACACTTGCTCCAGGCGAGAAGCTATCTCTGTAACATCCAACAATTAAAGAGGTTCCTCAAGTGCCTTTAGTGCTAACACAGGGCTTTTCTAGGGTTCACATGTAAGTTTTATAACTACCAAACAACTTATTCTTTTTCTGAAAGTAACAATGCCTTGCAATTAAGCTAATCTTAATGTATCAAACCACACTATGCTGAATTTTCTACAATATTCCATTACTGTAGGAAGGGAAAAGCCTCAAATTTTTAGGATCTGCTTGAAAAAGAAAATGTTTAAAAATGTCTAATATTCCTCTTGCAAAAAAGAATGCCAAATAATTAAGGGTCATTTTTCTAATGAGAACTGAATTGCAGTTTGTGGAGAAGCATTTAATTGTGCTGAGTTCATTGAGCTCACAAATAGTATATTATCTCAAATTATTTATATAATTTCTAGCTCCCTGCCGGTTAATGTAGGGCTCACCATAGCTAGTAGGGGTTCATTATCTAATTCACAAGAAAAATGATCTCTGTTTTCTGATCCTAAAGGCAAAGAAAAAGGATATTCCAATTTAAGATACTTTTTCAAACCACAGGGAATACCCATTAAAATCACAGTCAGAACTATGCAGCCATGAATATTTCTGAATAATCTTTTAGTATGAAAAAAAGGAATTCTCTTCAGTGTCTATAACTCAAGGAATTGGTGCAAACATACTTCCTGCACTTGCTTCTCTTTCTTCCCCTCTTTGCCCTCCTACTATTGTAGAAATACACTCTTACCTCTGGGGTATCTAAGATTTGTTTAACTTGCAGGATATTAGTGATATGCCAGGTATACTTGGAAAAGGTTCCCAGTGGCAAGGCGTCTTTCCGAACAAAAGCTTCAATGTAAGAAGGGAACAAGATTAGACTACCAAAAAAATAACATTCTCTTTCATTGTATTTGTTATCCAGTTTTTAGAAAGTTCAGTGCAGTGCTATCCTTTCCTTATAGAATCTCAGCACTTTTAAAAAAGAAATTCTAGAGGCAAATCTGTAATAGGTTTGGCAGAAATGTGGTAAATCAAATGATATGGATTTCTGCTAACAGATGTCTCTGATGCTTCTTTGAGATGCTACTTATTTTTGCTACCTTAGCAACTGATTTCTTTGTTTGGTATAGCTACACGCACAGGACTCCATTATAAAACAGCACCTTACAACCTCTCACAACTTTAGATATACCAGAGGTCAAATTATAGTTCTTAAAAGAATTACATGGAGTTTAGGCCAGTTAACATGGTTGCCAACCTGTTGCCTTGCCTGAAGGATTATAAAGGGGTTTCACTAAAAGGCCTGCAAAAATAGCTAAAGGATGGGTTAAAAGTAATGTATTAGGAGGCCTAAAGTTTAAGGTGAAAGAAAGAATCAACACTGCCTCAGATAGATAAGCTGTGAAGACAAAGATTTTTATAGCCCTAAACAGTGATTCACAGATAGAATTCAACCTCAAAGATAGAATTAAACCTCAGTCCCTATTATAATCATCAAATAACTACTAACTAAAGAAATAGCATTGATGTCCAGCTATAGTTACTCTTGGGCTATTTATCACTGAGCTATCTATTCTTCCTCCTCTCTCCCTCGTTTCCTTACACTACCTAATAAGTATCATGAAATTTCTAGTAGAAGATGTAATAGAAAACCAAGAAATAAGCACCAGAATAATGTAATTATAAAGGGTTCCAAGCCTAAGAATTACTCTAAAAATAAAATCTTCCTTCATCAAAATTGGGAACCATGAAAAACAAGTTTTTGTTTTTGGTACAGATTGTAATATGCTTCCAAGAAGCCAGTGCAAATAACACCTGGAACTTACAATGCTTTTGCTGAAATTGGTTCATATCTAGAAAATGTCAAACTTCTTAGTGGGCACCCTCATTACACTTCACTGTCCTTTTACCAAGTTTGTGCTTTCTGAATTTTTCCATTAACTCTTACTGGAATAAGTATGGTACCTTTGAGGGGAGTGATCATTATTCCAAGAGCTGACTGGCTAAGGCTTCATGTTTTGAGCATGTGACTAGAAGTCCTAATCCTGAAAATACCACACGGTTTCTCTAAGCATAATTCTCTAAGGTCAAGATATCTATTGTTGTTCCTGAGGAAAAAAAATCCCATACCTGTGGTGGAGTTGGGAAGCCGTTTCTTTGCACTTCCTATAGATATTCTTTGTTGCAGAGCATCAAAAAAGGACTGAGGAATGTGGAACACCAGTGGCTCTGGTTTGCCTATATCAAATAAGAAGAAACTCGTTTAAAGAAGCTCAGTGGGCTTTCTGACACGTAGGGAGAAGTGGAAGAAATGGAATTGGATGGCACTAACAACTAAAAATGCCACTGAGACCGCTTTATACAGAGGCAAAAAGGCTTTGATTGACCTTTATGAGTCAAGCACTGTCACCAGCCCTACTCTTGATCTCTATTATGACAAATACAACAGACCCTTGTCATCTGCCAAAGATAACTTTTCAATTCCTCAGTTTCATAAACACCAGCATAGCCCAGACTTTTCCCTTTAAAGAGTATCTGAAATGAGGTGAGTACAATGAGGCTGAGTTGAGAAGGTAAATTTGATTCAATCCTGCTCACTGTCTCCAAGCATTTGCTATGTGCATTTATGTCCAAGCAAAGTAACTGCAAGGTGTCACTCAGATGGTCTGGGCCAAGAGTGCCACAAAGTCAGGACACTGTTTATCCAACAAGCATCGGTCTTTCTCTCTGAATATGATCTCTAAGAAGGCAAAATGTTTTGAAAATATGTAAAAAACCTCTTATAGAAACTTGCAAGACACTAAGGTCAACAAAAAGGCAGCAGAAACAATGTTAGCGGAGGGGTTGGAAGAGGTCAGAGTTTTCTTTAAAAACTGTCCATGAGGAGGGTGCCTGGCTGGCTCAGTGGTAGAGCAAGTGACTCTTGATCTCAGGGTTGTGAGTTCAAGCTCCACATCAGGTATAGAGCTTACAAACAAAACAAAACACAAACAAAAAAACCTGTTCCAGAACTACTATCTGGCTAGATACAACTTAAAGAATGGTTCTTTTTTTTTTTTTAATTTGAGAGAGTACGTGCAGACACAGGAGTGGGGTGTTGGGGAGGAGCAGAGAGAGAGAGTGGGTATCTTTTTAAAAAAAATATTTATTTTTGAGAGAGAGAGCATGAGCAGGAAGGGGCAGAGAAAGAGGGAGACAGAGAATCCCAAGCAGGCTCTGCACTGTTGGCACAGAACCTGATGTGGGGCTCGGACTCATGAACTGTAAGATCATGATCTGAGCTGAAATCAAGAGTTGGACACTTAACTGACTGAGCCACCAGGTGCCCCTGAGAGAGAGAGAGAGAGAGAGAGAGAGAGAGAGAGAGAGAATCTTAAGCAGGTTCCACATTCAGTGTAGAGCCCAACATAGGGCTCGATCCCACGACCCTGGGATCATGACCTGAGCCAAATTTAAGGGTCAGACGCTTAACCTACCGAGCCACCCAGACATCCCAAGAATGGTTCTTAAAGAAGACTCTTAAAGACAGTTCAGATGCCTTTTTATTTAAAGAAGTTTTTTTTTGTTGTTATTTTGTTTTTTGTTTTTTTAGGTAGGCTCCATACCCAGTGTGATGCTTGAACTTACAACCCTGAGATCAAGAGTCTCATGCTCTACCAACTGAGCCAGCCAGGCACTCCTCAGATGCCTTTTTGAAACAAAGGTCAAACCAAGAAAAATAAAAATAAAAGGTTTTCTAGAAGTCCACAGAAAGACTTTACGTTCTTTCAAATGTTTTTATATACTTTATTGAATGCAGAATGTCAATGACAAAACTGTCACCGCTTCTGAGTCACTAAAACAGTGATATATGGACAGTTTGGAAAAGTCACCATACAAAGGAATCTTAAAATTTTTCATCTTGAACTTAGATTGTGGGCTACATGCAGAGATCATGACTGGTCTAAAAGAAGTGCTAACTAACTAGAACTCAGGTGATGTGATGCCAGGGTTTAGACGTACAAATTACTCTTGAAAAGCCCACATAAAACATACAGATTCACAGTCCAGGAGAGATGATGATGACTTTGACAAAGGTAGTGGTAATGGAGATGGTGAGGAGGAGTGGTAATGGAGAATGGGACAGAGAGGGACCACCGTGTGCATCTTACATTATTGTTGGCATTCTATCTTTGATTTGGGGAGGTCGGTTTATAGGTACTTATTACATTACTTCAAATAGTAAATAAATACAATTTTAACAGGAAAAAACCAGACTATTTTATTTATTTATTATTTTTTTAAGAGAAAGAGAGCAGGGGAGGGGCAGAGAGAGAAAATCCCAAGCAGTCCACATGCTGTCAGTGCTGAGCCCAATGCGGGGCTCAGTCTCATGAACTGTGAGATCAGGACCTGCGGTGTGATCAAGAGTCAGACACTAAACTGAGTGAACCATCCAGGCAGACCCAAACATAGACTCTTTGAAACTCTTAATTTATTTCATATTTCTAAAAAGTAACTTCTGAAGTTTTATTTATTCTGAATTAATATAAACAAAATTAAACATGTATTGTAAGATCTCCATTCTTGTCTCTTCCCTTACCATGAAGCCGTAACTATTATAATCTTTCAAAACTCATCTCCTGTTGATTGTCTCCTTTTGAGCTACTATTCACTTTGGAGTGTCTTATTTATTTATTTATCTATTTATTTATAAATAATTTTTTCAAGTTTATTTATTTATTTTGAGAGAGAGACAAAGAGAGGGAGTAGGGGAAGGGGAAGGGCAGAAAGCAAGGGAGAGAGAATCCTAAGCAGGTTCCGTACTGTCAGCACAGAGCCTGACATGGGGCTTGAACCCACAAACCGTGAGCTCATGACCTGAGCCAAAACCAATAGTTGGATGATCAACCGACTGTGCCACCCAGGTGCCTCGTATGTATGTATGTATGTATGTATGTATGTATGTATGTATGTATTTATAAAAGATTTTATTTTATTTTTTTATAACTTTTTTTTAATGTCAGTTTTTGAGACAGAGAGAGACAGAGTGGGGAAGGGGAAGAGAGAGAGGGAGACACAGAATCTGAAGCAGGCTCTAGGCTCTGAGCTGTAAGCACAGAGCCCAATGTACAGCTCTAACTCATGAACTGCGAGATCATGACCTGAACTGAAGTCAGTCACTTAATGAACTGAGCCACACAGGTGCCCCTAAAGATTTTATTTCATTTTATTTATTTATTTTTAGAGACAGAGAGAGAGTACAAGTGGAGGAGGGCCAGAGGAAGAGGGAGAGAGAATCCCAAGTAGGCTCCACAGTCAGCATGGAGCCGATATGGGGCCTGAACTCACGAACTGCGAGATCATGACCTGAGCAGAAACCAGGAGTTGGACGCTTAACCGACTGAGCCACCCAGGCGCCCCCCTAAAGATTTTATTTTTAAATAATCTCTACACCCAATGTGGGGCTCAAACTTGCAACCCTGAGATCAAAAATCACATGTTCTACCGACTGAGCCAGCCAGCCACCTGTTTCATTTTTCAAATGACAGTCATTGGACGCCTGGGTGGCTCAGTCGGTTAAGTGTCAGATTCTTGATCTCAGCTCAGGTCATGATCTCATGGTTTGTGAGATGGAGCCCCAAGTGAGGCTCTGCGCTGACAGTGTGGAGCCTGTTTGGGATTCTCTCTCTCCCATTCTCTCTGCCCCTTCCCTGCTCACGTTCTTTCTCTCTCTCCCAAAATAAATAAGTAAACTTAAAAAAAAGATTAAAATGATAATCATAAACTGCAACATATTCAGCAAAGAACATTACAATTATATGAGGTCTGCAAATATGCTATGAGGAGTGTTTGAAGACCTAAGATGTATCACTTGGAGAAAAGAAGACCTGTCAGGCAGCATGACAGCTATGTGCGCAGTGGTAGGGACTGTCACTTAGAACAGGCCTACTCCATGTGGCTAGAGTGAACCAGAACCAACAGTAAGTATTAGAAGCAAATATTTCTACTTAGTGTGAGGAACACTTTCCTCACAGCTCTCACTGTCCAGCAATGTTATGAGCTGCCTGAAAAAGTGGTGAGCTCCTCACTACTGGACAAAGCCTGGAAAACTAGCCATCAAGGATGTTTTTAAGGCTATGGGCCAGGACTGGTTGGCTGGTCCACCTCTGAAATTGCTGAGGTCCCATGAAGTTATCACAATCAACCCAAATCCAGCCTGTATTCTCCAATCTTCCTTAATATGTCTATGTAATTTTATATAACTATCTTAGTCTCACATATTTAGATTTTTTTCTAAACGTTTTCCTCCCTTGCTCTGATTTTAAGTTTGAGAGTTAGAATGATCTTCTAAGGCTTTGGCATCTCTCTCACCTAACACACGTCCATATACATGTGTGCACAGACAGGCATACCCTAAGACCAAGGCCATCTACCTTTACTTATTATTTACTATTTGCGCTCCTCCATCTCTAAATTCATTCTGCTAGTCCTGTGTTTTAATGATGTGATTATTCCTTTATTTCATTTAAATCTCTACTTTCTTGGGGCACCTGGGTGGCACAGTCGGTTGAGCGTCCGACTTCAGCCAGGTCACGATCTCGCGGTCCGTGAGTTCAAGCCCCGCGTCAGGCTCTGGGCTGATGGCTCGGAGCCTGGAGCCTGTTTCCGATTCTGTGTCTCCCTCTCTCTCTGCCCCTCCCCCGTTCATGCTCTGTCTCTCTCTGTCCCCAAAATAAATAAACGTTGGAAAAAAAAAATTAAAAAAAAAAATAAATAAATCTCTACTTTCTTGTGGCCTAATGCACGCTGGACTGAAACCTAATTACTTTTCCTATCAAAACAGAACAGAACTATCATTTGCAACAACATGGATAGAGCCAGAGTGTATAATGATAGGTGAAATAAGTCAGTCAGAGAAAGACAAATATCATATGATTTCACTCTAATGTGGAATTTAAGAAACAAAACAAAGGAAAAGAAGAGACAGAGAGAGAGAGAGAAATCAAGAAACAGACTCTTAACTACAGAGAACAAACTGATGGTTACCAGAGGGGAGGAGAGTCGGGGGATTGGTGAAATATGTGATGGGGATTAAGGAATGCACTTGTAGTGATGAACACCAGATGATGTATGGGATTATGGAATCACTATATCGTATACCTGAAACTAATATAACACTGAATGCTAACTATATTGGAATTAAAACAAAAACTTAAGTCAAAAAAACCAGAATAGAACTACAACACAATTACTTTAATTCTTCTACTTTCAGCAATAGCTAAGTTGGGCGACCAATACTTACCATCAAACTGATAGTGCATGGTTTGATGGATGCGTTCTGTGACACTGGCCAGCCAGTCTTGGAAGGACAGGGTCACTTGAGCCTCATCTAACAGCTGACCACAGGCTAGGAAAAACAAACAAAAAACTTTTCAGTAATTTTTATGGGTTTTTTTGCAAAAACAACAGTTAACTGAAGTCTGAAAAAGCTGCGGATTTTGTACAGAAAAGAGCAACAAGCTGAAATTTAAAGAAATTAGATACATTAAATGAAATGGAAAATTCTAGGATTTTTTTTTTTTTTAATCCATCTAGAGGGGTGCTGGGTTGCTCAGCTGGTTGAGTGTCTGACTCTTGGTTTGGGCTCAGGTCATGATCTCATGGTTTGTGAGTTCAAGCCTAGCACCGAGCTCTGTGCTGACTGTACAGTGCCTGCTTGGATTCTCTCTCTGCCTCCCCCCCTGCTCACTTTCTCTCTCAAAATAAATAAATAAACTTAAAAAAAAAAAAAAAGAATCCATCTAGAAAAAAATTGAAAAGTTGTGATTATTAACCACAGAAGGTTTGCAGCCTTTCAACATTAAACTGCAAATTGGAGGAGAGCCTTGCTGGCTCAGTCAGTGGAGCATGTGACTCTTGACCTTGGGGTCATGAGTTCTATCTTTACATTGGGTGCAGAGATTACTTAAAAATAAAATCTTTGAAAAAAAGAAACTGCAAACTTAAGAATGGCCTTGTATAACGGTTGCTTTAGAGATCTATAAATCAGGAGATAAGGATGCCACAACTACTATTCATTTGAAACTAAAATTCTCATTAGGTAAATGTATTTAGTGATAATTTGGATGAAAATCTATTTTATTTTATTTTATTTTATTTTTCCTTTGTACCAAAGGAAGTGATGGAGATCTGTTAAAAATCTTCTACCTGATATTTTTGATTTGTTTACTTCTTGAGCTTCCAAAAACATTTATTCCTGGAATATGTCAGTTCTTAGCTAATTGGTTAATTAAGATTTGGTTTTGTATTATATGCTATTTATGTACTGATCTTGTCTTTAAAACCACAGTATGAGTGCAGGGATGATATCTAGTTTTTAATCACTCAGCCATAATATATGAGAGTTAAGAAAATGTTGATCCCCAAATGTATGGGCCTAATTATGCTGAATAGAAAAGTAAATATATAGGCTATGTTCAAATTAAGTTATTTTGTCTCATAAGTTCAGAAAGATAACCATGCTACTGCTTTTAGGTATGTTTTCAAACTTCATTTTTTTTTTAACGCATGTTGACTTTTAATTGGTTGATTGATTGATTGATTGATTGATTAAGTAATCTCTATGCCCAACATGGGGCCTGTACTCACAACCCTGAGATCAAGAGTCACATGATCTACTGGCTGAGCCAGCCAGGTGCCCCAAACTTCAACTTGGGAGAACAGATTATATTTGCCTTTCTCAGCAAATATTTATCCCTGCAGAATTATAAAATATATTTCTTCAAGTTTGAGGCTCCACACCAACTGCATGTGGGTAACAGGCAACAAAAGGAAAATATCTTATAGAACATGTGCTGCCAAAACATGAAGGAATCTTTGCTGCGTTTGTCGTTAAAAAGACACAATTTGGGTCTGGGTATGATTTGAAACCAGTGGAACAGAATAGATCGCAGCCTCAGTGCCTGCTCGTGTTTATCTTACCACTCTTTGGGGGATAACATGCAACATTTCTTTTGATTATATTGCTTTGGGCTTCTTCGGGATGATTTTCCACCTCTTTAGCCTACCCTGGCTAAGGGAAACTTACCCTGCCTTTTTAATGAAGAAGCAACCACAGGTTTTTTCAGGCCACTTTTCCTTAGATTACTGCTCACTGCATCCTGAGGCAGCAGTGAACTGTTCGTCTGTGCACCTAAACCACACATCATTATAGTGATTTAATAATTTAATAATATGTCTGCAGAATATAAATCAATTCAATATTAATTTCTTAAGAGTCTAAAACATAAAATGTCTTTGCTAAGGTCTAAGTTAGCTTCAGCTTCTAGAAGGAATTAACATTAGCATTAATACATAACATTTTAAGTTTTATATGCTCTTTACTGGAAATTGGGATGTGGGTGTGGGACCTAGAAGTGAAAAGAAGAAAAAAAATTCACCCACTGTTCCCACTTCTCAATCACTATCAATTTTCTGGTGAACTACCAGAAAAATTGTGTGTGTGTGTGTGTGTAGCTGATTTTGCTGGTTTAGTGATTTTAAGTAACTGTGATTATCCCAGGATCACCAAATTTAGCAAAAAAAAAAAAAAAAAAATCTAAATTTCAAATAAATGGCTTTTTAATATAGGTATGTTCCAAATATTGCATGGGACATACTTATACTAAAAATTATTGTTTGTATGAAAATCAAATTTTACTGAGCATTCTGTATTTTACCTGAGTTATCTAAACATTTCTTTCTACTTCTTTATAATAATTTTCAATGGCTGCCTAATATTCTATCAAGTTAATTTATTATGGTTTATTTAACTACCCCTAGTGGTTGGCCCTTATTTGGTTTTAATTTTTCAATATTATAAATAATTGTAAAGTTAACATCTGTGGACAAAATGTTTTTCCTGTATCGAGGATTATTTCCTCAGAATCAGGACTACTGAGTCAAAGGATAAGAACTTTTTTTTTTTTTTTTTTTTGCTTTCAGGTTTTCTTGGGAAAGAACAATAAATAAACACTTAACAACAGTCTCTGCTCTATATTGCTGCCAGAATTACTTCTCAAAAACAGAAATGCCCATGTCACTTTTTTCTCCATCTTTCTCCAACATCCCAGCATCAAAACTCCTGTGCATGACCATTTGACCCACTTCCAAAAATACTCCCTCTCACCACAAAAATGTTCCTGCTTACATGTGTAGACTGGTAGTATTTTTCTTTTGTTTAGAGTCTAGGACTTGCAACACTTATTTACAAAAGCACTTCACTATTTTCATATTGACTTATATGACTCCTTAATTGCCACTGGTACATTTACATTAAAAAAGAAAATATATATATATATGATGCCACATATTGAAAATACAGATAAGAAACTATACTCTTAAATTAGTGCAGAAGATATAATTAACCATTGTCACAAATTTTTAAAAATGCTCTATGGATGAAAACTTCATAACACTATCCTATGGCAAATTAAGGTGTAAAACTGGCCCAAATATTTAAGGGATAAATAAAATATACAATAATAAAAGGAGAATCTGGTTGGATTTTATACTCAGCCAAAAGAACCAACTCTTAGCTCAATTTCACAAAGAATTATCAATGAGGGATAAAACTTTTTTCAGAAAAAAAACATAACAAACATTATTTCTGCATTTGCTAAGATTGAGTGAAATACATAAAATACAGTAAAACAATCTCTAAAGACAACACCACCAAACAAATGAAACAGCTGCTCACCAGGTACTTCCTCTTTTTTCCTCTTCTTTGGCTTAGAGGCAGTAGACTCACAAGCTGATACTGTCGATTCTGAATGGCAACCTAACTGGGGCACAATAACCTCTTTAAGACCTAAAATATAACACATTTCTTAGTTATTAATACCATCCAAGAGTAAGTATGGGACCCTACCTAGAGAAAAATTAATTTATAAAACACAAATTATGGAGTGATTGCCTGCTTTAAAATAAATTCCTATTTATTTATTTATTTATTTATTTATTTATTTATTTAGAGAGCACACGCATGAGCAGGGGAGGGGCATAGGGAGAGGGAGAGAATCTTAAGCAGGCTCCATGCTCAGCATTGAGGCCAACTTGGAGCTCAATCTCATGACCATGAGATCACAGCCTGAGCTGAAATCAAGAGTCGTTGGATGCACAATTGACTGAGCCACCCCACCCATAACATAATTCCCTTTAAAGAACTCCCCAACACATAGGTTTTTGTTCATGGACCATTAACATGATAAAAGACTCTACAGAGAAATAATACTAAAAAGTTGGGAGTTACTGCCAACTAAAGATCATTAAGAAATGAAAATAAAAAGCATCTATAAGATAAAACTATGTTAAAAACCACAACAAAAGATGATGTAGTCTTTAAATGTCTTTTGAGGAAGGTATTAGTTTTCCTCATCTTCAAAGATGAGAAACAAGCAAGCAAGCCAAAATAAAAGTGTTTGTTTGTTTGCTCTTTGTTTTTATTAATATAGGGCATCTTTGAAAGAGTTAAAAAAAACACAACAAAAAAGCAAAGCAAAGTTAACTTTTGCTAGATTCATTGTCTCAGTGAAAATGCCCAAGTCTCTTGATCATTAATTTCAATAGACGAACCAACCAACCAACCAACCAACCAACCAACCAACTTTATGCAAGTGTGCTTACTGGGATTAAAAGAAGGAATGCTTTTCGTTTGAATTATCTAGCAACTGCTTCTGAAGGTTGCTAGGACAATCTCCAAATGCCATCAGGGAACTCTTTCATTGCCATTTTAGAAAAAGAGTAACTGTGTCAACACACCACCTACCGCTGGAATCAAAATTTAGGAAGTCTGAGAATTCCTGAGCCAATGTCTCGTCACTGGCAAAGGCACAGATGCAAGCAAAGAAATGAATACACCTCTGGGCCACCTCATCCTTGGAGGCATTCGACTTATGCGATTTCAGAGCCTGGCAGGAGCAGAAGAACCGGCGCTCGGGCAAGCTTTTGGCACTGATTTTCTGCACAAAGGATGTATGCAAATACCCCAAACTATGCTTCTGGCTTGCCTTGCATTTCACCACCAAAATGTTTTTAGTAATCCTCTGTACAAGGGGACCTGTGGGCTCTGTGGCCAGCTGCCAGATGGTCTGCTTGGTTTCTGGGGAGGCCTGCATTGCATTCAGGACTGAGCTTTTCAGAGTCAGAGGGGTGGCTTCTGCCTGGCAGTTCACTGCCAGCTTGATGTGCTGGCACTGATTCTCCACAACGCTCTGGGTGGCAGCTTTCAGGCATGAGGGGACATAACATCGTCCAGAGCTCAGCTGAGTGATGATTGTCCCATCCACCGTCTGGATTGTCGTCTCTGACACACCTAGCTCCACAAAGCACCGGTGATCAGGGCCCCGGTCTCTTTGCCGCACCGAGTAAACCTGCAGATCAGAGCCTGTTATGATTTTGACAGCTTCAACACTAGGCTGCTTCCGTGCACCATAGCGGAATATGGTTCCACATGTCTTGTTCTTACAACTCAGTCCCCGGGTTCCATTGTATGTGCCGCATCGGGGACACTTTCTGATTCCCCTCAATGTGGCCTTCCCCAAATCAGACAAGAAAGCTGGGACTTTAGTCCTCAGAGAGTTTGGCTCCATTTTTCAAAGGCCCTAGAAAGAGCAATAAACCCATCAACATGAATACACACTCATACATACACACACAGCAAGTTAAAATCATTTATAAGATTTAGTACAGAAAATAAAATGTAAAGAAATAATCTACCATTTTCAAATTGTACCTTCATAACAGAACATTCACTTAAGCCATCAAGCAAAAGGAAACTTTGCCTTTCACATTATTATATATTTTTAAAAACATAACAACTAAAGCACTTCTCTAGGTTCAGCACTGTTTTCTACAACAACCTAGATTAGTTAACCTAATTTTTACATGCACAGATGTTTAATTTGAATAAGAACCGGAGAGTTGGAGAGATGAGTTCTTTCCTTCCCAACATTTCCCATAAAACGCAAGCCTATCCTACCTGTATCAGCTGCCACAGCATCCAGAATACAGTGTAACCTGAATCCATAAGACCTGAAAGGTGTTTCATTAGTTTAGGATGATCATAGAAGACAGGCAAAGACACAATCATTTGCAGAGTAAATGATACTGTTTAACCCAAAGTCTTTTGAAGTTTGAACTCTATGGTGTAACAATGCAGACATTCTGCCTCCCCTTTCTTGGCCAGCCAATGGCAAAGCTCCTGCCCAGTGTTCCAGAGTCGAAGATTCCCAACTGCCCTAAGTGGAGATCTTGGCAGTCTACAAAACAAGAAAAAATGTTAAAGTTATACAAAAGTCTCTCCTCTTAGAATAGGAATCTAAGTCTTCCATAGATATTTGAAAAATATTTGACAGAAATTCTTATTCTTATGGAAATGCTTGGCTTGTACTTCTAATTTAAAGCAGGTAAAACAGTGCTAATGTCATTCATTACACAGAGAGTTGTCAAGAACACCCAGAGCCATGATACATAATCGGCCAAATACTCATCCTTCTTAATAATAATGTATTGCATCTTAGAGTGCTTTATGCTAGTCAAAGCGCTTTCACATTATTTCATTAGAACCTCACAATACTAGGATCTCATTTGAGCCAAACAACCACCACTCTTCATATGAAAATTAAAAAGTTAAGTAACTTGAGGCACCTGGCTGGCTCAGTCAATAGAGAATGTGATTGTTGATCTTGGGGTCATGAGTTTGTGCCCCACACTGGGCATAGAGATTAAACAAAACAAAACAAAAAACAAAACAAAACAAAACAAAACAAAACAAATCAAAACATGGCTCAGCTGGTTGATCCTCTGATTCTTGGTTTTGGCTCAGGTCATGATCTCACAGTTCATGGGATTGAGCCCTGCACTGGGCTCTAAGCTGACAGCGCAGAGCCTGCTTAGGGTTCTCTCTCTCTCCCTCTGCCCCTCTCCCCTACTCTCTCTCTCTCTCTCTCAAATAAGCTTAAAAAACAAACAAAATGCTAAAAAAACTTTAAAAACATTTTTTTTAATGTTTATATGTTTATTTTTGAAAGAGAGATAGATAGAGAGCAAGTAGGGAAAGGGCAGAGAGAGAGGAAGACAGAATCCCAAGCAGGCTCTGCACCATCAGCCCAGAGCCCGATGCTGGGCCTGAACCCACGAATCGCAAGATCATGACCTGAGCCGAAACCAAGAGTCAGATGCCTAACCAACCGAGCCACCCAGGCGCTTCTTAAAAAATTTTTAAATTTATATAAAAAGTAACTTGCCTGAGGTCACCCAGCAAAATCAGCAATGTGGTTTCCAGTGTCTGTTAGGAAGAGTGTGAATCTCTGCTTTTAATTTCCCCTCTAATATTATGAAAATTTTCAAATATAAAAAAAAAAACAAACAGAATTATACAGTGCACCTCCATATGCCCACCCACTAGATTCTACAATTAACATTTTACTATATTTGCTTTATCACATATCTATTTATTCCTTTCTCCATCCATCAATCCCTCTTATATTTTACTGTATCTCGAAGTAGTTTGCAGACATCAATTCAGCATGCATATTATTAATTAAAGTTCAACATTAAAAAAATTTTTTTAATGTTTATTCATTTTTGAGAGACAGAGCATGAGCGGGGGAGGGGCAGAGAGAGAGGGAGACACAGAATCAGAAGCAGGCTCCAGGCTCTGAACTGTCAGCACAGAGCCCAAAACGGTCTCAAACTCATGAACCAATAAGATCTTTTTTTTTTTTTCTTAATGTTGAACTTTATGGGGAGCCTGAGTGGCTCAGTCGGTTAATCGTCCGACTTTGGCTTGGGTCATGATCTCAACGGTTTATGGGTTCCAGCCCCTCATCAGGCTCTGTGGTCCAGCTCAGAGCCTGGAGCTAGCTTCGGATTGTGTCTTCCTCTTTTCTCTCTCTACCCGTCCCCCGCTCGCATTCTGTCTCTCAAAAATAAACGTTAAAAAAATAATAAAATATTTTATTAAGATGGGGGGGGTGGCAGGCGCCTGGGTGGCTCAATTGGTTAAGCGTCTGACTTTGGCTCAGGTTATGATCTCATGGTCTGTGGGTTTGAGCCACGCATTGGGCTCTGTGCTGCCAGCTCAGAGCCTGGAGTTCAGATTCTGTCTCCCTCTCTCCCTGCCTCTTCCCCACTTGTGTGCGTGCTCCCTCTCCCTCTCTCTCTCAAAAATAAATAAACATTTAAAAAAAAAGTTTTTTTGGGGGGGTGCCTGTGGCTCAGTTGGTTGAGTGTCTGACTCTTGATCTCAGCTCTGGTCATGATCTCATGGTTTGTGGGTTTGAGCCCTGCCTCAGACTCTATGCTGACAGTGCAGAGCCTGCTTGGGATTCTCTTTCTCTCTGTCCCTCAACACTCTCTCTCTCAAAAATAAACTTAAAAAAAATATTTAAAAAAATCTTTTTTTTAAAGTTTGCCCAGGGGGAGGGGAGGGACAGAGAGAGAGAATCCCAAGCAAGCCCCACATTCAGCTTGTAGGCTGATGCAGGGCTCGAACTCAGGAATGGTGAGATCATGACCTGAGCAGAAATCAAGAGTTGGACACTTAACTGACTCAGCCACCCAGGTACCCCTTTAAGTAATCTCTACACCTAACGTGGGGCTTGAACTCACAACCCTGAGATCAAGAGTCATGTGCTCTACAGAGTAATCTAGCCCGGTGCCCCAAATTTCAATATATTTTTTTTAAATTTTTTTTTCAACGTTTATTTATTTTTTTGGGACAGAGAGAGACAGAGCATGAATGGGGAGGGGCAGAGAGAGAGGGAGACACAGAATCAGAAACAGGCTCCAGGCTCTGAGCCATCAGCCCAGAGCCCGACGCAGGGCTTGAACTCACGGACCGCGAGATCGTGACCTGGCTGAAGTCGGACGCTCAACCGACTGCGCCACCCAGGCGCCCCTCAATATATATTTTTAAGGCAATCTGCTTGTGATGTTGAAATTGGCTGTTACTATTGCTCTTGCCCCCTGACCCCAAAGGATGATGTTGATGAAGTATTTTCCTTCCACATTTTCTATAGTCTATTTGCTAATCAACAAATTGTAAAGTACAAATAAGGAAAGTCTAAGAATGCCCACGTTTTCATTAGTGCTATAAATTAATGGCCCAACTGTAATATGTGTTGTGATGTATCCACTAAGTGAATAAAGCTTTGTGAAATATAATCTATTGCAGTTTTCCACCTTGGCACTCCTGACATTTAGGGCTGACATTCTTTGTTGTAGGGAAGAGTTCTATACATTGTAGAATGTTTGGTAGCATTCAGGGTCTCTACCCACTAGATGCCAATAGCAGTCAACTCTTCCTCCCTATGTGTTAAACAAACAAACAAACAAACAGTTTCCAGATATTGCTGAATGTCCTCTGGGAGGCTAAGTCACCCATTAAACACCCCTAATCTAAGAGAGCCAGGGTGGCTCAGTCTGTTAAGTGTCTGACTCTCGATATCGGCTCAGGTCATGGTCTCACAGTTCGTGGGATCAAGCCCTGCATCAGGCTCCATGCTGACAGCATGAGCCTGCTTGGAATTCTCTCTTTCCCTCTGTCTATTCCCCTCCCCCCACACACGCTCTCTCTTTCTCTCTCAAAATAAATAAGTGGGGCACCTGGGTGACTCGGTTAAGCATCTGACTCTTGGTTTTGGTTGAGGCCATGATCTCATGGTGAGCCTGCACTGGGCTCTGTGCTGCCAGTATGGAACCTGCTTGGGATTCTGTCTGTCTCCCTCTCTCTGCCTCTCCCCCCACCTCTCTCAAGATAAATAAATAAACTTTTTTTTTTAAAAAAAAAATTTTTTTTTTCAACGTTTATTTATTTTTGGGATAGAGAGAGACAGAGCATGAACGGGGGAGGGGCAGAGAGAGAGGGAGACACAGAATCGGAAATGGGCTCCAGGCTCTGAGCCATCAGCCCAGAGCCTGACGCGGGGCTCGAACTCACGGACCGCGAGATCGTGACCTGGCTGAAGTCGGACGCTTAACCGACTGCGCCACCCAGGCGCCCCAATAAACTTTAAAAAAAGTTTAGAAAGGGGAACCCTCTTGCACTGTTGGTGGGAATGCAAACTGGTGCAGCCACTCTGGACAACAGCATGGAGGTTCCTCAAAAAAGTAAAAACAGAATTACCCCATACCCAGCAATAGCACTACTAGGAATTTATCCAAAGGATACAGGAGTGTTGATATGAAGAAACAGATGCACCCCAATGTTAATAGCAGTGCTATCAACAATAGCTAACATATGGAAAGAGCCCAAATGTCCATCAACTGATGAATGGATAAAGAAGATGTATATATATATACACAATGGAACACTACTCGGTGATGAAAAAGAATGAAATCTTGCCATTTGCAACTACGAGGATAGAACTGGAGGGTGTTATACTAAGCAAAATGAAGTCAGTCAGAGAAACACAGATACCATATGATTTCACTCATATGTGGAATTTGAGAAACTTAACAAATGACCATAGGGGAAGGGGAGGAAAAATAAGATACAAACAGAGAGGGAGGCAAACCATAACAGACTCTTAAATACAGAGAACAAACTGAGGGTTAATTGGGGGTGGACGACTGGGGCAGTGGGGATAATGGGTGATGGGCATTGAGGAGGGCACTTTGTTAGGGTGAGCACTGGGTGTTGTATGTAAGTGATGAATCACAGGAATCTGCTCCTGAAGCCAATACTACACTGTATGTTAGCTACCTTGACAATAAATTAAAAAAAAAAAAAAGTTTAAATAAATAAATAAGGTTTAAAAAAACAAAACCCTAATCCAGAGACATTAGTTTGTTTACACAGCATTTCCTTTCTAGGCCAATAAACTTCTTTAGCAGGTATTTTCATTCAGCCACACGTGGGTTCTTAAGAGAGAATGTTGTTCCAAAGTCAAAAGATAGAATATTTAGTTTGCTCTTTACCACCAGTTATTTCTTTGACCAAGTTTAACTTCTGAGTTTCAGGTTGGCTTTCATTTGCAAAATAAAAAATATATATGTATATATAAATAAAATATAAACATATAAAAAATATATATTATAATATATGATATACAAAATATAAATATATACAAACATATAATATACAATATATTAATTAATATCAATATAATTATTTACATATTAACATATATTTATATATAAATATATTAAAATATAGAATATATAATATACGAATATATATTTATATACATTTATATAAATATAAACAATAAATATATATTATATATAAATATATGTATAAATAAAAATATATATGAAATAGCTTAATAAAAATTTATTTCTATTTTTAAATAATTCTTTTTAATTTTTTAAATTTATTTATTTTGCAGAGAGAAGCAGGCATTCCTGTGCACATACATGAGCAGGGGAGGGGCAGAGAGAGAGAGAGAGAGAGAGACAGAGAGGGAGAATCCCAAATAGGCTTCATGCTGTCAGCTTGGGGCCTCACTCAGGGCTTGAACTCACAAACTGTGAGATCATGATCTGAGCCAAAGTCAAGAGTCGGACATCCAACCAATGAGCCACCCAGTCACCCCCGGAATTAATCAATTTCCAAATTACACTGATGATGATGACTTAACATATCATTAAAATGGGAAAAAAATAACTTTGTTCATTAAGGGAGGAACTGGTTTGCCAATTATACATGGTGAAGACTTAAGGTGCTGTAGTTTTAGCATCATCATAGGAATTCCACTCTCCTTTTATTTTTTATTTTACTTTTGGGTTATTCTCTGAAGAGGGCAATTTGTTAGTATCTTTCAAAATAAAAAAATGCACACTTCTTTAAAAATAACTTTTAATTTGGGAATAACTTTAGATGTAAAGAAAAGATAAAAAACATCGGAGAGATTCCTGTATACCCACCCAGCCTCCCCAAGTGTTAACATCTTATCAAATCATGAGAGATTTGTCAACACTAAGGTTTTAACATTGGTACAATACTATCAACTCTACTACATACAGACTTTATTAGGATTCACCAGTTTTTCCACTAATGGCACTTTTTTTTTTTTAAGTTTATTTGAGAGAGAGAGCACAAGGAGGAGAGGAAGAGAGAGAGAGGGAGAGAGAGAGAGAGTCCCAAGCAGGCTCTGCACTGTCAATGCACAGCCCCATGTAGGGCTCAAACTCAGAAACTGTGAGGTCATGCCGAGCTGAAAACAAGAGTTGGATGCTCAACTGACTGAGCCATGCAGGAACCTCCTAATGGCACTTATTTAAGAATAATTTTTTTTTAAGATTTTTTAAAATATTCTTTTTTAATTTAATTTAAAGTGATCTCTACACCCAACATGGGGCTTAAACTTAGAACTCTGAGATCAAGAGTCGCCTGTTCTACTGACTGAGCCAGCCAGGCACCCCAACAATAAACTTTTTATTTTAGAATAATTTCACATTTTCAGAGAAGTTGCAAAGATAAAATAGAGAGTTCCCAGATACCTTTCACTCAGTTTCCCCCAATGTTAACATTATATATTATTACCACAGGGCATTCGTCAAAACTAAGAAGCCAACATTAGTACATTATTATTAACTAAACTAGACTTTCTCCTTTTTTCTGTTCCAATCCAAAATACCACATTGCATTTGTCATGTCTTCTTAGTCTTCTTGGAGCTATAGTTTTGTCTTTCCTGGTTGTTCATAATCTCGGTAATTCTGAAGAGTCAGGTATTTTATAGAGTGTCCCTTAATTTGGAGTAATCTGATGTTTTCTCTGCATATTTAAAAATTATTTTACTTTATTATTACTTTTTTTAATGTTTATTTTTGAGAACGAGAATATGCAAGCAGGGGAGGGGCAGAGAGAGAGAAGGATGGGGGATCTGAAATGGGCTCTGTGCTGACAGCAGAGAGCCCAACACAGGGCTTGAACTCACAAACTGTGAGATCATAACCTGAGCCAAAGTTGGATGTTTAACCAACTGAGCCATTCAGGTGCCCTTACTTTTTTTTTTTTTTAATTAAAAAAATGTATTTATTTATTGAGAGAGAGAGAGAGAGAGAATGTGTGTGAACAAGCAGGGGAGGGGCAGAGAGAGGTGAGAGAGAGAATCCCAAGCAGGCTCCATACTATTAGTGCAGAGCCTGCCACGGGACTTCAATTCACAAACCTATGAAATCATGAACTGAACTGAAATCAAGAGTTTGAGGCTTGGGGCACCTGGGTGGCTCAGTTGGTTGAGGGTCCAACTTCAGCTCAGGTCATGATCTCACAGTTGGTGAGATCGAGCCCGGCGTGGGGCTCTGTGCTGATGGCTTGGAGCCTGAGGCCTGCTTTGCATTCTGTGTCTCCCTCTCTCTCTGCCCCTCCACCACTCATACTCTGTCTCTCTCTCTCTCAAAAAATAAACATTAAAAAAATTTAAGAAAAAAAAGAAGGAAATGGTTGAATTATGGTATATCCATATAATTGGAATACTTTCCAAAAAATAAAATATTCTACATTTATTTAAATAAAGACTGAGGAAGTTTCTTATGTGTTGATTTTTCAGATCTTTAAGACATGTAGAAAGGCAAGGTATAGGGGCGCCTGGGTGGCTGGGTCAGTTAAGCGTCCGACTTCAGCTCAGGTCATGATCTCACGGTCCGTGAGTTCGAGCCCCACGTTGGGCTCTGTGCTGACAGCTCAGAGCCTGAAGCCTGTTTCAGATTCTGTGTCTCCCTCTCTCTCTGCCCCTCCCCTGTTCATGCTCTGTCTCTCTCCGTCTCAAAAATAAATAAACGTTAAAAAATTTTTTTTTAATTAAAAAAAAAAAAAAAAGAAAAGAAAAGCAAGGTATAGAACAGCCAAGTATGATATGCTGTCAACATATCAGGAGAAGGAAGGAAACATATATACACAATATACATATACAATAAAATAATTTCCTAAAATTTCTTTAACTTAAAAAAAGTCTCCTAAAATTATACAATATAAAGGCAAAATTTAGGGGCAAAAATTATCATTAAACATATCTTATCCTATCTCACTTTATATACTCAAATAAATTCAAGGCAGATTAAAATGTTCAAGTATAAAAGTTGGAACTGTTAACATAGTAGGACAAAGGGAGGGGATTTAACATTTTTTAAGGATATCAGAATGATCATGGCCTAAATGACACAAACCCCAGAATCCTGACTGTATTGGTGTGTTTGTGTGTTTTTTTAAGAAACCTCTTTATTGGGGCGCCTGGGTGGCGCAGTCGGTTAAGCGTCCGACTTCAGCCAGGTCACGATCTCGCGGTCCGTGAGTTCGAGCCCCGCGTCGGGCTCTGGGCTGATGGCTCAGAGCCTGGAGCCTGTTTCCGATTCTGTGTCTCCCTCTCTCTCTGCCCCTCCCCCGTTCATGCTCTGTCTCTCTCTGTCCCCAAAATAAATAAACGTTGAAAAAAAAATTAAAAAAAAAAAAGAAACCTCTTTATTGAGGTATATTTTATAGACCACAAAATTCATCCATTTTAAGTATACAATTCAATGACAGTATAATGACAGTATAATGACATCCATCACTACAGTCCAGTTTGAGAACACTTCTATCACCCTAAAAAGACCCCTCTGGCCATTTGCAGTCAATTACCATTCCCACCCCCAGGCAATCACTAATCTGTCTTATTGTCTCTATAGATTTAGATTTTTTGGACATTTCATATAGATGGAATCATACAATATGTGGGATTTTGTGTTTGTATTCTTTCATTCAACATGCTGTTTTCAAGGTTGAACCACATTGTAGCATGTATTAGTAATTCATTCGCTTATATTGCTGAAAAGCATTCCATTGTATGGATATATCATTTTGCTTATCCATTCACCAGCAGACAGATAACTGTTCTGTTTCCAATTTGTGGCTATTATCAACATGCTGCTGAGAACATTAACATGCAAGTCCCCATGTAGACAAGGATCTTCATTTCTCTTGGGTATCTAGATACCTAGAAGTAGAATTACAGGGTCATAGTTTAACTTAAACTTTTTAAGAAATGACCAAACTGCTTTCCAAACTGAAAAGCATTGTTATATTCATACCAGCAACATAAGAGGGTTCCTGCTTCTCCTCTTCTCTTCCTGGCCAACATGTATTATTATCTTCTTCTTTCAAAAAAAAATGTTTATTGATTTGAGAGAGAGCAAGGGAGGGACAGAAAGAGAGGAAGAGAGAGAATCCTAAGCAGGCTCCTTGCTTTTAGCACAGACCCTTACATGGGGCTCACTCGCATGAACCACGAGGTCATGAACTGAGCTGAAATCAAGAGTCTGACGCTTAACCGACTGAGCCACCCTGGAGCCCCTTGTCTTATTATGGCCATTTGGTTATAGTAGGTGTAAAGTGGTACCTCCCTGTGCTTTTAACTTGCATTTCTCTAACGAATAATGATGTTGAGCAACATATTACATGCTTCTTTAGCCAGATCGATCTCTTTGGGGAAATACTATCAAAGATTTTGCTCGCTTTACTTTATTATTCATTTTTAAAGTAGGCTCCACGCCCAACACCAGGCTTGAACTCACAACCCTGAGATCAAGAGTCAGACCCACGGGGCACCTGGGTGGCGCAGTCGGTTAAGCGTCGACTTCAGCCAGGTCACGATCTCGCGGTCCGTGAGTTCGAGCCCCGCGTCGGGCTCTGGGCTGATGGCTCAGAGCCTGGAGCCTGTTTCCGATTCTGTGTCTCCCTCTCTCTCTGCCCCTCCCCCATTCATGCTCTGTCTCTCTCGGTCCCAAAAATAAATACACGTTAAAAAAAAAAAAAAAAAAAGAGTCAGACCCTCCCCTGACTGAGCCACCCAAGCACCCCTCACCCATTCTAAAATTAGACTGAGGGGGTTTGGCTGGCTAAATCAGTCGAGAATGCAACTCTTGATCTCAGCATAATGAGTTCAAGCCCCACATTGGGTTGTAGAACTTACTTTAAATAAATAAATACATACATACATTCTGATTATATTTGATTACATAAAAATGAAAATTTTCTGCATGGAAAAATATATCATAAGCTAAGTACAAAGGTGAAAAAAAAACTTGAAGAATAAAAGAAGTGCAAGGCTTGTACACTGAAAACTTCAAAAGTCATTGAACGAAATTAAAGACCTAGCAAAATGGAAATGCATCTCATGCTTGCAGACTGGAAAACTAATATTGTTAGGAAGGCACTACTCCCCCAACTGATCTACAGATACAACATAATCCCTATCAAAATCTCAGAGTTTTTTTGCAAACTAACAAGGTGGTCCTAAATTTTATATAGAAATGCAAGGCACCTGGTAGAGCCAAAACAATCTTGAGAAAGAACAACACAGTACAAGGACTCACACTTCTTCTTCTTCTTCTTTTTTTTTTTAATGTTTATTTGTTTTTGTGAGAGAGAGTGAGAGAGAGAGAGTGAGAGAGAGAGAGTGAGCAGGGGAGGGGCAGAGAGAGAGGGAGACACAGAATCCAAAGCAGGCTCCAGGCTCCGAGCCACCAGCACAGAACCTGACGCGGGGCTCGAACTCATGAATCGTGAGACCATGACCTGAGCCGAAGTCAGATGCTTAACTGACTGAGCCACCGAGGCGCCCCTCACACTTCTTGATTTCAAAACTTACTATAAAGCAAATTAAGGCAATGTGGACAGAGAAGACAAATACTGTATGATTTTACTTACATGTATAATCTTAAAAAGCCAAACTCATAAAACAGAGGATGGAATGGACTGCCAAGGATTGAGGGGTGAGAGAAATGGGGAGATATCAGTCAAACGGTACAAACTTCCAGTTATAAGATGAATAAATTCTGGGGATCTAACGTACAGCATGGTGATTATCGTTAATAATAGTATATTATATTGCTAATATACTTCAGCTAATAGCTGAAAGCTGCTAAGAGAGATGTTAAACGTTCTCACCATACACAAAAATGGTTATTATATGACACGATGGAGGTGTTAGCTAATGCCTTGGTGGTAATCATTTTGCACTGTGTAAGTGTATCAAATCACACTGAACACCTTAAACTTACAGGATGTTATGTCAATTATATCTCAAAAAAGCTGAGGGCCAAAAAGACAAGAAGGCACTGGCACGAGGGCAGATATACAGAGCAACAGCATATAATTAATTAATCAAGCATATAATTAAGAGGTCAGAAATAATCTCTCACATTTATGCTCCACTGATTTTTGACAAGGATGCCAAGATCATTTAATGGGGAAAGAATAGTCCGATGAACAAAAGGTGCTAGGACAAGTGGATATCCATCTCTAAAAGAATCAAGTTGGAAAAAAAAAAAAAATTAAGTTGGACCCATACCTCACACTGTATACAAAATTTAACTCAAAATGGATCACAGACATAAATGTTAAGAGCTAAAACTATAAAACTCTTAGAAGAAAACTTAAGGGTAAATCTTTGTGACCTTGGATAAAGCAATGGCTTCTTATATATGCCACCGAAAGCATAGATGACAAAAGAAAAAAAGAGAAAAACTGAACTTCATCAAAATTAAAAACATCTGTGCTTCAACCAGCACCATCAAGAAAGTGAAAAGACAACCACAGCCTGAGAGAAAATATTTGCAAGTCATATGTATGATGAGGGCCTTGTGTCCAGAATAGATTACAAGACTTTGTTACAAGTCAACAATAAAAAGACAGATAATCTAATTTAAACCAGGAAGGGGCACTTGGGTGGTTCAGTCAGTTTAGTGTCTGACTTCAGCTCAGCTCATGATCTCATGGTTCGTGAGTTCAAGCCCCACATCTGGCTCCATGCTGACAGCGTGGAGCCTGCTTGAGATTCTCTCTTTATCCCTCTCTCTCTGCCTCTCCACCACTCATGCTCGCTCTCTCAAAATAAACTATAAAAAAATAAAAATTATAATAATAAAATAAAACCAGGCAAAGAGGGGTGCCTGGGTGGGTGGTTTAGTTGGTTAAGTGTCCGACTCTTGATTTCAGTTCAGGTCATGATCTCACAGTTTGTGGGGTTGAGTCCTGTGTCAGGCTCTTTGCTAACAAAGGGAGCCTTCTTGGGATTCTCTCTCTCTCCCTCTCTCAAAATAAATAAATAAAACTTTTAAAAAGTCTACAGGGGTGCCTGGGTGGCTCAGTCAGTTAAACATCTCACTTTGGCTCAGGTCATGATCTCATGGGTTCATGAGTTCTGGTCCCACATGGGGCTCCAGGCTGACAGTGCAGATCCTGCTTGGGATTCTCTCTCTCTCCCTCTCTCTGCCACTCCCCCGCTTGTGCTCTCTCAAAATAAATAAACTTCAAATACACACACACACACACACACACACACACACACACACACACACACACAGGATCTGAATGGATATTTCTCCAAAGAAAATAAATAGCCAAGAAACAAATGAAAAGATGTTCAACATCATGTAATCAGGAAATTGCAAATCAAAACCACAATGTGACGCCACTATACAGCCATTAATGACTAAAAAAGGCAGACAATAACAAGTATTGTCATGGATATTGAATAACTGGAGCCCTCACACATTGTTGATGGTGTTGTAAAATGGCAGTCATTTTGGAAAACTGATTGTCGGTGGTTCCTCAAAATGTTAAACAGTGTTACCATATGACTTCCAAGAGAATATATACCCAAGACAATTGAAAACACACAAAAATTTGTACATGTATGTTCACAGTAGGAGTGTTCATAATAGCTAGAAAGTGGAATCAATCCAAATATCCAACAACTGACGAATGGATAAACAAAATGTGGCATATCCACACAATGGGATATTATTTGGCCCTAAAAGAGAATGAAATTCTGTTACATGCTTTATGAACCTTGAAATATACTAAGTAAAAAAAGCCAGACACACCCCCGAACTGTGAGATCATGACCTGAGCCCAAATCGAGTTGGATGCCTAGCTGACTAAGCCACTCAGGCGCCCCCAAAAAAGAAAAGTGATTTTAAACATCCAAAATTATGTCTTACAATGAGCAAGAGGCAAATTAAAACAAGACAATACTTTGGCAAAATGACAAAAAGGATAACTGTTATTACTGTGTTCATGAGGATGTGGAGAAGCAGGTATTGCACATTGTTGGTAGGGACATAAACTGCAACATCCCCTTTAAAGGGATGTAAATAAAATAAATGTAAAACATATATTTGTACATAGCAATTCCACTTATAAGATTTCATGAATTCTACTCTCACATGTACACAAAGCATGTACAGGGGTACTCCATGCAAAGTTATCCAGAACCGCACAAGAATGGAAACAGTCTTAAGAGCTGACTAAAAAATTATGGTGCAGGCATACAACATGCTACTATAAAGGGATTAAAAAGAATGAGATAGACCTATATGTACTGGTAAGGAACAAATATCAAGATATACTGTGGAGCGAAAAAAGGCACTTCATATATGATACTCCTGGTTTAAAAGAGAAAAAAAAGATAGGGTGCATGCACGCACACATGTGCACACACACACAGACACACACACACACACACACACACACACACACACACACACACGTCCATGGTCCAGAAGTGACTTAGAACTTGGGAAATCGTAGGAGGGAGACTTACATTTCACTGTTCTATACTATTTGAATTTTAAACATGAACTAGTATTACTTATTATAGATTCTATACTGCAAGCATATACAAACAGGTAACACAACTTGTAAAGAAACTGTATTTGCCAAAGAAAATGAAAATGCTAATTTGAAAAGATATATGCAGCTCTATGTTCACTGCAGTATTATTTATAATAGCCAAAATATGGAAACAACCTAAGTGTCCATCAATGGATGAATGGATAAAGACTTGTGTGAGCATGTGTGTGTGTGTGTGTGTGTATAAAATGGAATACTACTCAGACATAAAAAAGAGGGAAATCTTGCCATCTGCAACAATGTGGATGGACCTCAACAGTATTATGCTGAAATAAGACAGAGAAAGACAAATACCATGTAACTTCACTTATATGTGGAATCTATAAAACAAAACTCATACATATAAAAAAAGACTGGTGATTGCCAGAGGGGAAGGGGGTGAGAGGGTAGGAGAAATGGGTGAAAGCGGTCAAAGGTACAAACTTCCAGATATAAAATAAGCAAGTCATGGGAATGTACTGCATGATGACTACAGGAGATAATATTATATTGAATATTTGAAAGCTGCCAAAGGACTAAATCTTAAAAGTTCTCATCACAAGGAAAAACAATTTTTTTTTGTAGCTTTGTATGGTGACTGATAACCAGACTTATTGTGGCCATCACAGTGCATACAAATCTTGAATCATGTTGTACATCTGAAACTCATATGTTACACATGAATTTTACCTCAATTAAAACAAACACAGAAAAAAACAAACAAACAAAGCACCTGGGTGGCTCCGGTGGGTTGAGTGACAGACTCTTGATTTTGGCTTAGGTCATGATCTCATGGTTTGTGGGTTTAAGCCCTGCACCTGGGTCTGTACTGACAAGTACAGAGCCTGCTTGGGATTATCCCTCTCCCTCTGCCCCCCCCCCCCAGGGAGATAAATAAATTAAAACAAAACAAAAAAAAAGGTAAGAAAAGAACCTGTATTTGAATCCTGCCTAAAAAAAGAGGTCTCTTTTCATCAAGTTCACAAAACAGCCTCCTCAGCAAGATGGTGTAAAGGGACTAGTGCTGGCAGAGCTAACCCACCCACGATTCCTGGAAGTGGTGCATTTTCATCCAGGTACTGTTCAGCTGCAAAGCCGTACAGTTTAGGGGATGCTGTTTAATGCTTGTGAAGCAACAGTAACTCAAGAGAACGTATGATTATCATGAATAAAAAAACTTGCTAACTTTTACTGAGTACACGTAAGCCCCTCCCATGCATTTACTCAGGTATTGCTCACCACGATCCAGTAAAGTGGGTACTATTTACCATCTTACAGTTGAAGAAATTGGCTCAAAGATAATGATTTGATGAATGCTCACTGCCAGCAACCAGACAATCTAACGAGAGTTTGTAACTGATAGGATTCCTTGTCAAACCACAAGGGGAAGGGACATGCCTAGTAGCCAGGACTCCCGACTCCTGCGCCAGACAGCTTCCATCAGACCCGCGCGGTTTCGGAGTAGCAGAGGAAGGCCAAAGCAGCCCTGCGGGCACGAGTCTGGGAACCCCGCTTCCGGGAACCGGCCCACCCCAAGAAGTACCACTCGGGGACCTGCTTCCCGGCATCCTTCCCGCGCGACTGCTCACTTCCGGCCCTAAGTGGGCCTAAGCATAAGCATCACCTGGCCAAGCACCCTGCTCCTTGGACACGCTCTCCGCCGGGATTCCTGGCTTTACACCCTCGTCCCACCGCCGCCCCCGCCTTCTGTCAACACGGCCCCCTTTCCTGCTCCGCGCCCCCCGCCCCGGTCCCAGGGCCCGAAGCTGATGACCGCCCTCACCTCCTCTCTCTTCGCCTGCCGCGGCCTTTTACAAACGCGTCCAAACTGTTCGCTGTAACGACAGTCGTTATTGGTCAGGGCCGCCCACGCGCGGTAAATACCCGCCCACTCCGTTCGCGTTGTCTGATGGGAGTTGTAGTTGACTCCTGTAGGCGGGTAAGAATTGTGGCGGATTGCCTTGGTGGAGTCTGAGCTAACCTGGAGGCTGTAGCGCTCAGTGGGGCCGGAGTGCTTCTGGCCGACCCTGCTGGGACAGAAAGCACCGATAGGGTTCTAGGGCTGATCATGACTGCTTCAGCCCTGAGAGAACCCTGTTTCTGGTAGAATTCATTGGTAATTGATTTAAAAAATCGCCTAAGATGATCTGTATTATTACTATGATTTATCGTTTTGTCAAGGGAGGTCGTGTTCCAAAGTATTCACTGTTCCTAATACTTGTGTGTTTATATCAAGTTATCTTTTTCTACCTTCCTCACATGCTGACATACTAGAACGTTTTCCCTTGTAATGAATTGAAATCGGCTTCCTATGTGTTTTAGTTCTGTTCCTTGGAATCACACAGAGTAAATCTTTGTTCATTGTTGAAGAAAGCTTCCGAGTGCAGTGTGTTAAGGATGAGGCCTGTGTGTTGGAGAACTCTGGAATGAGATTTCCTGAAGTTTTGGGCCTTGATTCTGTTACTTTATAGGGGTGGCACGGTGGGCAGGTTGTGTAAGAACCTTAGTCTTCTCATCTATTAATAAGAGAAATGGTTCTTTCCAGGACTCTAATTTGCTATATTGTTTCTCAAACTGGAGGAAAGTGGATTAGGGCACACTTTTCCAGAGTATTTTTCCAATTTTGTGACTCTGTTTTGATTATAAGCTTTTAAAATGATGATCAGTATATCCTGGGTCATCTGGATGATCACCTAATAATACCGTAGAGTTTCAGTCCCGGTTTGTGTTTGATTGTATCCGTGCAAAGTGATTCTCTAGAGCAGTTGTTCTTCTTCTGGGAGCATTGCTACAAGCATCTAGTGAATAGATGCCATGGATGTTATTTAGGATCCCATGGGGCATCAGACTAGCTCACTCAGTAGAGCCTATGACTTTTGATCTTGGGGGTTGTGGGTTTGAGCCCCATGTTGGGTGTAGAGATTACTTAAAAATAAAATCGTAGGGCACCTGGGTGGCTTAGTCAAACATAAGTCTCTTGATTTTGGCTCAGGTCATGATCCCAAGCTCATGGGATCAAGCCCCAAATCAAGCTCTGTGATGAGCATGGAGCCTGCTTGGGATTCTCTCATCCTCTCCCTCTCTGCTTCTCCCCATCTCCTGCCCTCTCTCAAAATAAATAAACATTTAAAGAAATAATAAAGAAAATAACATCTTTTTAAAAATCTTACAGTACACAAAACAGCCGAGCCCTCACAACAAAGAATTATCTGGACCCAGATATCAATAGTGCTGGGGCACCTGGGTTGCTCAGTTGGTTAAGCGTCTAAGAGAGAGAGGGAAACACAGAAAGGGAAGCAGGCTCTGTGCTCCGAGCTGTCAGCACAGAGCCCGACGCGGGGCTCAAACTCACAGACCATGAGATCATGACCTGAGCCAGAGTCAGATGCTTAACCGACTGAGCCACCCAGGTGCCCTAAATAAATAGACTTTAAAAAAAGAGTTAAAAAAAAAAAGCCACTAGTGCCAAAGTTGAGAGACCCTGTGTTAGAAAGTGGGGAGAAGGGACTGTAAGGTATCCTCCAAACTGAGAAGGCACTTTGAAACCAAAAAATGAAGCAGGCAGGCAACTCCATACAGTTTACAGAATCTTATTCAGGGTAACTTACTGACAGGGAGGATCCAGAGGGTGATGATCCAGGCAGCTGTGCAGCTAGTCTTTGCAAAGTCCAGATCTAAATTTGCAGATTTTATAGAAAGGAGGGGTGGTCAGGAGGGCACTGAGGTGAGGTCAAAGGGTCTGCATACAATTCATTGATAGCTAACCTTTAACAGACCTCATGGTGCCATCTGTGCATCGAGGAGGTAGGTGGAGGGAAACTGTTATCTCTACTAGTTATCTAAACACATTTAGGGAAAGCAAGAGCAAGCCTCCCCACATTCTGGTCATGGCATACATCAACCTCTAAGGCGCCTGAAACGGCCCCAGGGGAGGTCATCACAGGTACATGGATAGGTGGTGGGGCCAAAGATGGAGTCAGTAGTATCAGAGCTCCTACACTCTGTTTTAGAGAGAGTGGTTACAATGTTTTCAATGGAATTGCCCAAATGTGTCCTAAGAGATTTGTGGGTTTTCAGTTTAGATATGTTGTATGTTCCAGTCAGGAAGGAAGCTGTCAAGCAACCCCATTCTATTTTTAAGTAGTTTTTTAAGTAGGCCCCACACCCAACGTGGTGCTTGATCTCATGACCCCATGATCAAGAATTGCATGAGATACCGAGCCAGCAGGGAACCCCTAAGCAACCCTATTCTAGAAGAGGTTTCTTCCTTCCAAGCCATACACTCAGGGTTCTTCTAAGAAGAAGAACCAAAGAAGGGCCTTTGAAGAAGCATTACCATCCTGGAAGTCCCTTCTGAGCCTTCTTATAAATAGAATTCTCAGATTGCATAATATTCTCATTATGGTTTGACACAATGAGACAAAATGAGGACACAATGAGCCTTCCTTCTCTATTCTCTGAACATCATTTTTTTCAGCCTCGAGGTAGATTTTTTCTTAAAGTTTATTTTATTTATTTTGAGAGAGAGGGAGGGAGGGAGAAGGAGGGAAAGAGGCAGAGAGAGAGGAAGAGAGAGAATCCGAAGCAGGCTCCACACTTTTAGCACAAAACCCAATGTGGGGCTCAATTCCATGAACCTGATCATGACCTGAGCTGTTATCAAGAATTGGACGCTTAAACCAACTTGAGCCACCCAGGCACCTCCATTGTGATTCTTGAATCTGAGAATTCCTAGCTTTCTACAATTGTGGAAAATTCTCAATCATTATCCCTTCAAATATTATGTATCTCATGTTGTTTTATTTTATGAAAGTCTAGTTTAAATGTATGGTAGGGGTGCCTGTCTGGCTCAGTCGGTAGAGCATATGACTCTTGATCTTGAGGTTGTGGGTTTGAGCCTCACATTGGGGTAGAGATTACTTAAAAACAAAACCTTTAGGGGCACCTGGGTGGCTCAGTCACTTAAGTGTCCAACTTTTGATTTCAGCTCAGGTCATGACCTCATGGTCATGAGATGGAGCCCTGCATGGGGCCTTGCATTGGGCTTCACACTGGGTGTGGAGTCTGCTTAAGATTCTCTCTCTCTCTCTCTCTCTCTCTCTCTCTCCTCTGCTTGTGTGCACTGCTCACTCTGTCACCCCAAAAAAGGAAAAAAAAAACTTTAAAAAATGTATTTTAGATTTCTCATTTTATTCAGTCAGTCCACTGAATTTTTAATTTTGGCTGTTGTATTTTTAAGTTTATTTTATTTATTTTGAGAGAGACAGAGAGAGCATGAGCTGGGGAGGGGCAGAGACAGAGGGAGAGAATCTTAAGTGCGCTCAGCACAGAGCCAGAGGTGGAGCTCAATCCCAGAACTTTGAGATCATGACCTGAACTGAAATCGAGTTGGTCACTGAATGGACTGAGCCACCCAGCTGTCCCTCAGTTATTGTATTTTTAATTTCTAGAGGCTTTATCAGTTTCTTTTAAATTCAAGGGGTGCCTGGGTGGCTCAGTCCGTTGAGCATCCAACTATTGATTTTGGCTCAGCTCATGATCTCTTGGTTCATGGGATTGAGCCCCACGTCAGGCTCTGTGCTGATAGCAAAAGGAATCTGCTTGGGATTTCTCTCTCTCCCTCTCTCTCTCTGCCCCTCCCTTGCTCTTGTTCTCTCAAAATAAATAACGTTAACAAAACAATGTTGAAGCACCTGAGCTTATCCTCCATCATTTGCTAACTCTAGCATCTCTCTGGGCGATTTCCATCCCATAGATCAAACTATCACCTAAATGCTGAGGACTCCCATCTCTGGAGTATTCAGTCTGGATCTCCCTTCTAAATTCCGTACCATTACCTACTGGTGATTTGATTGTCACACACATTCAAGCTGCCCATGTTGAAGGCTGGAACTCATTAGCCTTCCTCTCCTGCCCTCTAAGTAACTTCTATCCTTACCTGCCCTCACAAACTTCTCCTTTTCCTTTTACAACCCCAGTAACTAGCCCCACCATCCATCTGATTGCTCAAGCCAGGAGCCGGGGAGACATCTTAGCTAAACACAAACTAGATCAATGGCTCCCTGGGACCTTTACAATAAAAAGTCCATCTCACTTGGCATAGCATAAAGAATTGGCCTTGATTTGGTCTTTTAGTTTTAGCTCTTATCACCTCACACCTAGTACTCTAGCTGGCAGTACTATCAGCACATGGCAGAAAAGCCATCTGGTCAAAAGCAGATTGTACAAGATAACAATTTGATTGATTTATTAAGTTCAGTAAACATGTATTGAAAATGTATTATTTGCCAGGTACTGGCCATATATGGTATTATTGAAAATAGTCACCAGCTTTGGGTTTAGTGAAAAACGTGTTTGTTTTTTTTTTAAGAACATAAGTTTTAAAGATATAATCATACAAATAAATATACCAGTTGGCCCTCGATCATGGGTTTAAACTGTGTGGGTCCTCTTATAGACTTTTTCCAATACAGTACAGTACTATAAATATATTTTGATTTTTAAAAAAATTTTATTTAAACCCAAGTTAGTTAACATATAGCGTTAATAGTGGTTTCAGGAGAATTTGGTGTTTCATCTCTTACATCTAACACCCAGTGCTCATCCCAACAAGGGCCTTCCTTAGTACCCATCACCCATTTAGCTCATTCCCTACCCACCTCCCCTCCAGCAACCCTTAGTTTGTCTCCTATTTTCTTAATAACTTTTCTCTAGCTTACTTTACTGTAAGAAAACAGTATATACTTATAACTTACAAATTATGTGTTGATTGTATTATTGGCAAGTCTTCCAGTCAACAGTAGGTTTGGGGGAAGTCAAAGGTTATACA